CCCCAGGGCCCGATGGGTACTGTCCTGGGGCCCCAGGGCCTGCGGAATATGGTGCTTGACCAGAGGGAACTCCAGGATACTGCCCTGGTGCTCCAGGACCTGAGGGGTACTGTCCAGGAGTTGGCCCTGGAGCACCAGGGAAATGGCCAGGTGCACTTGGGCCTGAAGGATACTGGCCTGGGGGAGCAGAGGGCCCAGAAGGCCACCCTGGATTGGCAGGAGCAGCGGTGCTGGCCGGGTCAGCAGGTTTGGTGTTGCTCACTTTGGCTGCTTTGCCGGGAAGATCCCCCTGTAAAGCATCTGCTAGCTGCACAGAGAGGAAGCAGAAATGACAGTGTTACACGTACAGGGCTGGACCATGATCTTACTGAGGCAGGGATGAAGTCCGAGAACTGACTCACCACAACCCATTAAAACGCTACATGCTTCACGTCCATTTTATTTATGAAAAAACTTTCATTTAAAAATTCAGTAGACTCACACAAGGGTAACATACTCATAAACATTTTAACTTGACAATTCATACAGGTGTCCATCTTTGGTGCTTAAATATCCATTTCCTCCTATGGCCCTTTTTTTTGTTCAGGTAAAAGAGTAAGTACTCAAAATACGAGACAAAACTCAAGCAGCAGGCCATTAGCCTCAAGGTTGAACATACAAGAACTCACCGAGAAGTCATCCATTTCCTGCAAAGCAAGCAAAAACAGGGGGAAGATTATCATTTTGTCTTATTCTCAACAAAATGAGCAAAGCAACCAATAGTTTCTTTTATATCAATTTCTTTACATATATTTATTTTATTCGATTATATATAATGGAGAGTTCCTGCATTTTTATATTTCTATATTGAAAGAAATATCAAGTTCTCTCAAAAATCCCTTTGAAACTCACTATTCATCACTATAATACATATGTGCATTCAATCGGGAAATAAGCGTCCATATATCAAAACAGAGGGCAAAGAGAAGTGCTCAAAGACTTCGTTGAATGGCAGTTTTCTGGTATGAAATGAGTTCCAAACAATCTTGACTTTTCTGGGCCAAATCACATCTGACCCTTTTTGTGAGCAATGCAGGTCAGTCTGATTGGAATAAAATGTGAACTTCAAAGTTTGACTGCCACACAAATAGTGACGACTGTAAGACATGATCGCTGTGTGTTTGGCATACTCGGGTGGACCTTAAAGTTGTTAACTATTTTTATGTTTACATGGAAACCTCAGAAGTGTTTCTGAGAACAGAGATACACAACGCTAGTCCTCCAGGGTAGGTTTTCTATGGCTCTTTTAATCTTCAAGAGCTAAAGTCCACGAAAAACTGTCATTTTGTCCCAGTTGAAGCAGAGTTAATATGGATTAAGTCATTAAGAGCAAAGGTGAAACCGCCCTCCAGTTCTGGAGTTGTGCGCCGTTTCCGAGAAGCTGTGAGTAACGCAGAGTGAAATTTTAAAAAGACGAACCAAACGCACTTCAAAACTAAAGACGTGCCAAAACAAACGTAACAGTGCATCTAATGTCGCTAACAAAATAAACATCAGGATTAAAAGGAAAGTTTACTAAATCTCTGCATCCCTGCAGTGTGAACACATGCAAACTGAGTCCCCCCGAAACAAGGAAGTCGAAGCACGAAAATGTTCTGCGCTCCACTCTTACACAAACTCGGTTATATATGAACAACAAACATTGATGCAATAGACAGGTTTCATACCAAACGAACAAATCAAGTTCTTTAGAAACGAACACGCTGCTTAAAAAAAGAAAGCTGTGGTTTTTAAAATATTTTTAATAGCAAAATTTAAAAGGCCTATCTCACCCACTCCCATTAAAACATAGCCAGGTGACACATTATAAAGAAATAACTAAATATTATAACTAAAATAATAAACAATATAACTAAATATTCAGTTAGCCTTTCAATGACGTGCTGCCCGTCTGCATTTTCCCCAAACAGCAAAATACTGCTATACTGACTGAAAAAGCTGAATTCAGCTTTTGAAATGTAAGCGCAGCCGCGATCGTTAAAACTCCCACTTAAGTATTTTTTGTATAAAAAGAAAAAACAAACGGGGTTTGGGATTCTTTTTCACTTCGGTGATTAGGGTCAACCATTCAAAAAATTAATTTTAATCATCGGCTTTCTGAGAAAACGCAAACTCAAGAATCTGCGATTTAAAAAATGGGTCACTTCGCTGTACCCCGTCCAGTAAACTTATTCTGTATATATGGTTTGGATGAAGTCTTTCTAATCGGTTCGTGAACCGTCCGTAGCTCTAAACATTCAGATTCAAAACAAGCTAATTTCATAGGAGAACATGCACAAAATTGCCGTTATTAACAACTTACCTAGATAATAAATGGCTTTTAAGAGGACAGATGCACTAAATCCAACCAGCAACGCAACAGAAAGTAAAGGAACTACTCAACAGCAGCAGGAAGTGCGGTTTCTGCGCCACTGCGGAAGGTAGCTGAGGGGCTGGGACAAGTGCTGCTTAACTGGCAGATGGAAAGTACTCTCATGGCATATATTGCATCAGGTCGTTTGTAGTTTGTATTAGTTATACAGCAAAACACGCTTTTCCCTTCATGTCTACGCATACCCCTGGAAATTATTGTTAAGACAAAGAAAAGCGAATTACTGGTACTGTATATGATTCCAGGTCGCAGTACTGCACTATCTTATCTGCCCTATTAAAAAAAGGCAAAAAGACAACCTATATTATTGAGTTGTTTTTATTTTGTAGTAAAATTGAGGGTCCTTTTGCAACTAAAAGCAGAAATAATGCGGTATAAACAGTTTTAAATAATCTGAAACCAGAACATTATTGCATGTTCTTTAGATCAACAGAAATGGGAATAATAATTGGTCATACAGTTATAATTTACTAATAAGTGCCATAGGACTGTCATTAAACAATTTAAATCACAGTATGTAATAGAAAACACCAAATAGCTCTCAGTAATAAAAAAATTACAATACAATTAACATCATATTATTGTTCATGGTACTGATAATGGTGAAGACATTATTTTATATTCAGACGTCTTTAATGATAATTTGATCATTAGTGCAACATACTGTATACCATAGGCCTGCCATACAAATTAGGACAAATGAACAGTTTCATGGAATAAAGAGGGTCTTGTTTTATGAACTGGTATATTTTGCTTTATTTAGCAGTTAAAGTCTGATTGACAGTTTTACATTCAACACGGAACAAGTCAACAAGAAAATATATCATGAACTAGCTATATTCATGTTTACATCCTCCAGAATATTAGCTAATGCTCCCAGAAGAGTTAGTGATAATGATTATTGTAGCTTTACTGTTGAAAAAAGTTCAACATTACAAATAACTACCAGAAGAAAATTGTTATGGAAGTAAATATGAAACTTTTGGATGGTCAGGGTTTGCAGGATGAATCTACATAAAGACCTGCATTAAATGAGTACTCAGATTCAGATTACAACCCAGTAATTACAACAGCAGCATAAAGTTTTTATTTTGTATCAGAGTAAGTTGTATTTAATTAAGAAATCCAAAGCTATAACAAGGTTTTCAGTACAGTCATCAGGAAGGTCACAGACCTACCTTTTTTGGCAACTTGCAGCTGATTTAGGCAAGGTAGCCTAAATTTGCAAAGCTAACCCATAGAGTTCAAACATTCCTCACATCTTGAAATACATAAAGAAGCAAGTTACATCAAGACCAAAGTCTACTTTGCAACATCGACCTAATTTATTGGGTTGTAACGCAGGCCTCACTTGAAATTGAGGCCTCAGGAATTCACAGTCATTGCTTATTCGCTTTGAAAAAAGAGGAACAGGTGGAAGAGTGTGTAAGAGGAGTGTTGTGTTACTTCACATTTCTGCTCAGTCTCACTGACTGACAACACAAGTGCGGATGAGCCAGGAACAACAGAGTTGACAGGAACAATGACGTTGGCAAACTAAATTTTATTTTCTGTCGTAGTTCAGATGTGTTGCTGCATCAGCATACGTAGTCTGCAAAGGAACAAGTAATAGGTTTATTCCATGCTGAAAAGAGAAGAGAGAAAACACAACGTTTCGGCTGTGAAGCCTTCTTCAGGTGTGTGGAAGGCTTCACAGCCGAAACGTTGTGTTTTCTCTCTTCTCTTGTCAGCATGGAAGAAACCTATTACTTGTTCCTTTATTTCTTGTCTCTGTGTTGATGATTGTACTAATGCAAAAGGAAAGGAGAGCTGGGGGTGAGTGTCTGCTTCTGATCACGTGGTCTTTGCAGCTGCTGAACCACAAGGAACAGGGCTCAGCCCAGTCGGGCAGCTCACCAAACAGCTGCATCGCAGGAGGCAGACAAAGGGAATCCACAGGACCTACTGTACGTACTTTCACCATCCTGGTTGATGGCTTCACAAGGCCAGTGTAGATGTGATTCAAGCCTGTGATCATGCTGCCCACTGTGTGGGCTGAGATCTCCCCCCCCCCAGAAGCAGCTGAAGACACCACAGGCTTCACCAAGCTCAGGAGGTGCTGCTGTAAGCCTAGGACGGCAACAAGTTCATTCGCAGTCACTGTGATTGATTTATACAGTACACAGGCATGCACAATATGAGTTATTCAATTGAGTGTAACCTATCTTCATATTCCTGCTGCCTTGGAAGTGCTCTGCCTAGGACAGAAGAGTATTTCTTCTATTTACATAGATACGCATCAAGTCATGATATCTTATGTTATTGTGTTATGAACCCTAAATATTATTTTGCCTTGAAGAAAACAAAATACGTTTACGAAAAACAAGGACACATTCTTGCCAGATTACAAAACATTACTCATTAAGGGGGCGGATAAACACTGGCAGCTGGTCTCCAGTACGCCGTCTGTTGTTTTTTTTCCTCATTTTGTTCGTGCTATGACAGACGCCTCGCTCTAGCGAAATGTAACTGTGGAAGGCGAATTCGTGGGTACGATACCGAAAGGGAATCCAATAACATTTTGCACCCTATCTGCAGTAATTGTCCTATTTTTTCTTCCCATCTACCCGCAAATCTCCTGTGGGAGGGGAGCGCAGAGGGGAAATTGCAAATGCAGAAAGGTGATTAGACATCTCCTTTTCCGCTGTTTCCAGGGGACGTCACTGCCCGGAAAACGCCAAGCGCGATTGGCTAGAGGAGAAGTCACGAGACGAGAGGAAAAAATATCCAGGAGTGTCCAGACAGTTTTCGAGCCTGCGCTTCAGGGAAAAATGGTAAGTGTTTATGCTGGTTGGCAAAACAGCGTTTTAAGTGCTTATATTGCATTTGGTTTTAAAAAAAATAACCCTTTTATACGCATAGCTCGTTAGCAAGAACGATTTTTCTGTGTGGTCGAGGAATGTAGTCGACTGTTTGGAGTTGGTTTGTCCATTTATATAAATATCAAATGAAAAAAAAAATGCAGTTCCACCCATTGTGATGTGTTGCAGCATGTCAGTCTATAGTGTATTCAGGTATATTTTGAGATGAACAGAGTTTAAAACTTATTTAAAAGCGTATTATCCCAATATCCTACCGGCATTTCCCTCACTGTTCATCACCACATCTTTTTACGCTTATTGTTTGTTTTTTTTTTTGGCCTGGCACCCATTGATAATTCCGCGTGATCTTCTCTCCTGCTGTTTCTTTTACATACTGTATACTGTAGGGTTCAGTGTCTGTATTATGTCATTCATTCTTTTCCAGTTCAAGTTCTCATGTCTTCATTGTGTGGGAGTAGGAACTGAGAATCAGATATTATAATGCTCTAGTTACACTAAATGCACACTTAACTGGTTATTAAAGGTTATTTTAAAAATACTCTTCACATTATTCGCTGGTTAAGTCTGAACATTGTATAAAGTATTGAGTACTGTGTAGTGTAGATTGCTTCATAGTGTAAAACTACACTCCAAAGCAGGGTGACGATGCTTAGAAATATTAGCTAAAACTTAAATATTGAATTTATTTTAACCAGTTGTGTTTTCTCAACTGTTATTGTAAATGTAAGGGCACATTTATAGGAATTCACTTTTTAAATGAGACAGAGGGCGCGTGTGCTCTGTGATGAACAGCCGAATTAGAAAGACGAGGACGACGGGGTTTGTGACGACAGGGGAAAGGTTTGTTGTGGACTTAAACACACATCCTTTCAGCCTTCATTAGACCAGGTATGATTATTTCAGTGGAACACACTGAACACAGATTCATCATCTGTGATGTTCGAATGGAATAGCTGCAATATTCCTGCTATAAAAATGAAAATGTAATCTTGTTAGCCACAATGCCCCAGGAGAAGTGGTTACACTGATCACAAATGCATCTTTAATGCCATGTTGCATTAAGAGAATGGAGGGTTTTCTAGCGACTGTTATATTGTATTGTATGTATTTTTTAGGAATATTCTGTTTAACTCACAATGTAACCTTACTTTTGTGATTTTTATCCCCCCAGGTGAGCTCATAGAAAAGACATTTCATTGCCAGCAACTACTGCTGCATGCTGTATTGTTGTGCATTTGATAAACTTTGATTGAAAATGTTTTTTTTTCTTAATGTCCAATTTATTCTATCCACTTAAATCTTTGACTGTAAATTACAGCCATGCATGTAGGACATAGAAACTTTAAAAGAAGTTCTGCAGTTTCAATTGTGGAGCAATATGCTGTACGATGCTAGAAAACGCTGTGTCAACAGTTAACTTATGTTAAGTTAGAGAAACTAATGGACATCCATATCTTACACTGTACATTAGATGCTGGGCGGGTATAGACAAATTAACTGTCCATCCATTCCTCTTCTAAATAGGGGGAAATTATGTATTGCATATTATTATAATAGAATACCACTATTGGAATTTTAGTAAGAGCAAGGTTAGAAATAAGACCTCTGATCTAAAGCATTCCTTAAGTACATGTATAACAAAATGAAGCTCATAACTCCAATTGCTGTTTGTTTCACCTTCTTTGCAGAGTGAGTCACTGGTTGTGTGTGATGTTGATGAAGAGTTAGTAGAAAAGCTGAGGAAGTTTCGATTCCGGAAAGAAACCAACAATGCTGCCATTATTAGTAAGTTGGGGTACATTGTATTGAACTGGCCAGTGTGTCTGCACTAATAATGTTGTGTAGCTGTGAAGTTTCTATTGCCTAAGAACTCTATAAGGTAGAATTATATAATTATGCTTTTAATCTGATTGTCTGTGGTTATTTTTAAAATTATCATCACTGTTAAGACAGTTCCTTCCATATTCCAATATCATCTGGAAAGAAAAAGATTCAGTTAACTTCCCACCTTCACTCTTCATTTGCCAGAGTGACCTTTTATCTGGATGTACTTTGTGCTCAACTGAAACTGCTACTGTGATGATCAGAGGGGTGGCACAGCAATTAGAACTACTGACTTGCAAGTCCTGGGTTTCAGGCTTGTAATCCGTGTATCCCGCAGAAAACCCATGTTTTCCAGATTCCTACTGTAGTCTAAAGACATGCTACCCACTAATAAGTGTGTTAGTGAGTATGTGTGTGTGTACTCTGGAATGGGTTGGCATCTGCAGTATGTCCAAGATGTTGTCCTGTATGGCAGGGTCCGAAAATGAGTCAAGCTCGGGGAAAGGTCTTAAAGCTGAGTAAAACCCAGGAAGGTGCACGTTGAAAAATTAAAATGATATCCCAAATGCTTCAAAACATGTGTCTTATAAAGATGCTTTTACTGGTCAAGGCGTACTAGGAAATTGACAAATAGTGTAATCTTTTTGAGGCGCGGTGTACAGTTCTTCTAAAAGTGTTGATCATTAATCAAGTGAAAGGATCCTAAATTATTCCGAAAATATTCTGAATTTTATGCATTGTCCTGTACTTGGAATGGAAAACAATTATTTTACACATGTAAATCAGTGTTGTTTTTGGCCTTTACACCTATTGTTTTCCTCCTGTTGGAACTCTCACATCACTTGAGCACAATATCGAAAAGTGCTGTCCTATGAGTTAAAAGAAAAGTGCTATAAACCTGACTGTGAATGAAGGCTCTTGAAGGCCCAGCAAAGGTACTTTGGAAGATGAATTTGGACTACAGGCATTCTGATCTTGAAATGCTTTCCTTTTGCATTCTGTAGTGAAATGTAGCCTACGTTTGCAGATCTCTTACATACAGTTTGCTCACATCTGGTGCTTTTTTTTTTTCTTCCCAGTGAAGATTGACAAAGACAGACAACTTGTCATTTTGGATGAAGAACATGAGGTGAGTTCTAGAACGAATTTTAAAAGGGGACTCTGAATCTACCGTCTATAATCTCAGCACTTCTGAGTCCAAGAGCAAAGGCTGTTTTTATATTTCTGATTTTGTCTTTCCTATCAGGATATTTCTCCAGATGACCTGAAGGATGAACTTCCTGAGAGACAGCCCAGATATCCTTTGATATTTGAGTAAAGTGGTTAAGAACAGTGGGATTGTCCTTTTGTTTCCTGTTTGATTTGAGTGCTTTACACAGGGTGTTCGGAAACCTAGGATTGTGCCATATATTGTTTGAAGAGTGGGATAAATGAACAGGATACATTTTGTACTATTTGGAGGATGACCTGTCAGACTTTCAGTTAGTGTAAACCTATTTGTTTTGAACTTTAACTGGTAAACAGAATTACATATGTATTTTCAGTCTCTGTTCAAAATTAATAGATTTTTGCTTGAAACCTTCTTTTGCCCTTAACACTGATCACATTTGTTGTATACAGCTATAAATACCAACACGATGATGGGCGTGTTTCTTACCCTCTCTGCTTCATTTTTTCCAGCCCAGTTGGTAAGTACACAATTTAAAATAATATACCTAAAAACTGATCAGGTTGATAAAATGTGTAAAACTCTATAGTTCACCTCGGTTACAGACCCTGTCACACTGCAGTTCCTAGACTACCTACTCTATTATTTAAACAATCGGTGAACATTGGAAACTGTGTTGTGGCACTACACTGGAGTGGATAGCTTAACAGAACTTAAAACAAAAGCTTCCTGTAGATGACATTAGTGTCTCTTGGTAGATGAATTGTGTGGGGGGAAAAAAAATACTACTTTACAAGGCTTCATTTCATGAGATGAGCTTTCAGCAATAAATTGGTACTGCGTGGTGCTGCATACGATCTTGTGTACCCCTTAGTTATAATGGGTTCAGTATACTTCACTAGTAAGGCCCACATTTAAAATATTGTATATGATTGTGGTCACCACCACGTCCTAGAAAAGATGTTGCTGCTCTGGAATCTGTCCAGGGAAGAGCAACCAGATACAGTACATTCTTGGATTAAGGGCAGGGATCTACACTGACAGGCTGAAAGAACCGGATCTTCTTGAACGGAGAAGATTGTGAGGGGACCTCATGTTCCAGATCATCACAGGCATTTACAAAGTCAACTCCAGCTCTGTGGACTCAGAATCAAAAGTGAAACACGAGATAGAAGATGCTAGTGAAAACTATGTAGCAGTACTTGTAAAACCAAGAACAGAAGGCACTTCCTTACTCAAAAGGTTGTGGGTGTATGGAACAAGCTACTCGTCCACGTTGTTGAAACCGATACCCTGGCTTCTCTCGAATAACAGCTGGAGGAGATCCTCGGATCTATAAGCTACTAACTACTAAACAGGCTAGGTGGGCCGAATGACCTCTTTTTTTGTTTGTAACTGTCCTTGTATTTTCTGATGGCCTATTTTAGTGTGTCCTTCAAAGACCGACTCCTTGGATTTGCTACAATCTATAATTTACATAATGTACTTTTAGAGAACCTTTTGTACGTGAAGTGGGTGTCTGTGCAGTGGCATTAGAGGTATATTTTGTATTTATATCTGAGAAAGTGGCTAGGAAACTAATGGTTCAGTCGCGACCTCTTGCAGCATTTTCCAAGGTGATTACTGGTTTACTTAAGGAAAGGTAAGTAATATTTCTGTCTTGTTTCAGGGTGCAGGCCTGAGCAGCAGATGATGTACGCAGGAAGCAAAAACAAACTAGTTCAGACAGTGGAGCTGACCAAGGTGGGTTGTTACATTACATATAGTCAGGTTCCTTCTTGTGGATTAATTTATGTTGTGGTTAATAAATTACATTTTGAAGAAGCATGAACATGCTGGTGGCAGATAAGGAAGAACTAAACCATTCTTAGTAATTTGTGACTGGAAGTCTCACACAGCTTTGTTAAAACTCAAGTCATTTTGTTGCAATATAGTGGTTCTGGAAACTTATTTTTTTAATTTATAAATAATTTAAAAGGAACTATGAGGATCATTTTTTTAAAAAATCAGATTTCCATCAAACTCCAGCATTTTCGATTTTACAGTTTCAAAATTCAGCAAGAATGACAATCTCAAAACAAAATGGTGAAAAAATCTACAGTGCGTGTGCGCATTTGAGTCTGTATGCACCCTGTGATGGACAGACTGTATCCTGTCTTGTGCCTCTCGTTTGCTGGGATAGACTCCAGCTTCCTCACGACCCTGTATTGGATGAAATGGCTAGAGGATTGTTGGATGGATGGCCTCATGCAGTTATGAGCATGTACAGTAGTAGTAAATTAAATCTGTAAATAAGCCTGGGAGTTTCTGGCTGACATTTTTGAGGTTCCAGTAATGCATATTGAGCTATGAGCTTCGGAACATTTCTCTGTGAATATTTAATTTTTGTTTTCCAGGTGTTTGAAATTCGGAACACGGAGGACCTGACAGAGGAATGGCTTCGGGAAAAACTGGGATTCTTCCGTTAGAGGTCCCTTGCATAGCTTGACATGGAGATGACAGTGGCAGTATGCGTGTTATTGAAGGAAGAAAATACCATAGCCAGTGTCTGACTGCATCTTTTCCATATTTGTGTGTGACCACAGTGCCCTGTATTCCAGTCTCTTGTATTTGCACTCTGCTCATCTTTAAAGTGACAGCAGAAATGTAAGAGTGCTTTTGTTTTTTAATCCTTGATAGGTTTCAGAATAGAATGATGTCAGAACTGGAAGGCATTGCAACTTTATTTAATAAACCACTGCCACTTGCCTTTTAAATGAGAAAATAATATTAACCTTTGCAGATTTTTAATATTTCACTCCATCTAAAGGTTGTGGTACCATAGAGACTGGAAAAGTGCAGGTTGGTTAAGGGTCACTTTTGTTCCCTCCTCTGAGACCAAAAAAGATCTTCTTCATTCCCTGTCTGGTTAGAAAAAATACAAAAACTGATGCCACTTGGGTCTTTTTTTATTCTTCTTTAACTTGCTTTTCCAAAATAATTTTCTTATGTTTTTTTTTACTATCATGACTCATCAAACAAAATATTTTATTAATTACTAATAAGGTTTGTTTTTTACCAAACTAAATTATAGAATTAACACTGATGTAGGAATTAATGGTCAAAGCTCTGGGCACACAAATCCCGATTCTGTGGAGACCCAGTAATATACGTGTGACCAATGATATTCATTTTGTGGGTTTTATTGATATCTGTAAACTTTATTTTTTTGGAATGGTGAATGGAGTGAGTGGTTCTAAAAAAACAAATATATTCCTGTCCGCTGCCCTCAGAACGTGGAAAAAATTATAGTTGTTTAGAGAGGCATTAGAAGTTGGGGACAGACTGTTAGCCGGTCACTTCAACATACTGGAAGAAGTTGGATAATTAAGTTTATAGTGGCAGTAGGGAGTCCCAAGTCACAGGATGTAAGAAAAAAGTAGCACATTTTAAAGGAAATAGATTTGTTTGTTTGTGTCTTTGGGGAGGCAAGGCCCAATAGGTTTAAAACAGACACACACTGCTCTCTGAATTTCTGATCACTCTCTGGTAAATTAAACAATCCTTTCGTTTCATTTAACAACATCCACTCAGTACCTGCTCCGAAGAAGTGATATACCCTTTACCAGCTTGAATTAAAAACGGAGATAAAAAGGAGTGAGGGTGATTTTTTTGTAACCTTCTGCTATTGGCACAGGGCAGGTTTGTTTTCAAATAAAAACTTTTGCTATATAAAATGTTTGCATTCTTTGTTTAGTAACTGTTAGGCCGAGAAACTTAACTGTCGTGTTGTGCTATTTTTTTATGCATTTAATTCTGTTCTTTTGCTGTCAAACTGTTGCTTCTTAGGATTTGTGGGTTGGCGTTTTAAATACTGCTAAACTGTGTGCTTATTTAGATTTAAAAGTTTGAATTACAAGAGAATTAGGTCCAGATTGATTTTCATTTGAAATTTTAGGACAGATGTAAATTCAGCTTGAAAATCTTGATTGGAAAATACAGTACTAAACCTATACCCAGTCAAAAAAAAATCAAGATTGCCCAATTTAATCCATAAAACATTTCCAGAACAAACACAAATCCTATTTTTTTTATGTATTTTATTTTTTTTCCAGGAACTCCAACATTCCTGGAACTATAACCCTCACCTTAGCACAGCCCTAAATCCCCCTTGGATGCAAAGCATATTCCTTAATTTAAATTGAATGCAAAGTATTTCTCTACAAAGCCTCCAATGACATTTTAGCAGTGTTAGGACAAACGTGCTTTGATTCATAGTCGCATGTCTTCTTTGATAAGTCTGTTCTTATTTGAATTTATTGGTAAAGTTGAAATTGCATGAAGTCTAGAGCTGGATTTTGGGTGGAGTTAGGGGCTGAAGTGCCATTGGTAGTGGCAAAGTTGTATAGGGGATTTTATCATTCCAACCCTTGGGAGGTGCTGAAATACCAGTATTCCATGTTCTTACCAGTAAATGTTGTTTGGTACAGTATGTTTTTAATCTATGAAGATGAAAAGATGGAGTTATCAGTTCTATTTTTTGTAATGTTAAAATCAATATTATGTTTCTGTAATTGTACTGTATATTAACCAGCTTCTGCTACACTATTGAGAGCCACAAAGCAAATTAAAGTTAATGACGTGTTATTTACGTACCTAGATACGTAGGATTAAATACTGTATTGCAGGGAAATCTAAACAAAGTTTACGCTTCTAAAAGGAGTTTTCCACAGCCGTGCTTTGTGTGGGGCACAGTTATAGCACCTTCTACCCAAATAAGTGTTTTCTGTTTTTAATTTTTTTGGGGAAGGTGTTAGATTGTGAGAATACTAGCCTTTTTTGCAAATTCCTATAAACAAGATTTGACATGTTTTTTACCTTTTCAAATGAATCTTTAACAAACTATTCTATATAGAATATGATTATTTTACCAGGTTAAACTTTCTAATGTCACGGTAAATTTGTTGGCAGAAAGAAAAGGGACCTTCAAAAATTTAACTTTTTCAATATATTGGATGATATTATTGCTTCAGGTTGCTATATAGTAGTTATTTTTCTATTTTATAAGGCAGAATTACAAATAAATTAATGATGTGCCATTAGGCTATTAAGAATAAACAGATTCAAATAATACTAATCCCCCAGTTTAAAATGATCAAGCCAAAAGAGTATACAAAAAGTGTCTTAATACTTGCCAAAATCCGAAGATAGGATGTTTTACAGTATTAATAAAATTGACTCTACATTGAAATACTTAAAGATTAAATTAACTGTTGAGACAAATAGAAGTTCTACAGTATGACTGTCCCTTTATGATTATGTATATACTTACAGCAAATGCTGTTGCTATTCATTTTACTTTGAAATTATATGCATACAGTATAGCACAGTTATCCTATTATCCAGTGGAATGAAATGTGAAAAAATGGCTTCTTTAGAATATTTTCTTAAGTCTTAATAAAAAACATAGGTAGCTTTTAGCATCTAGAACATAAAACTGGAGCTCTAGGAACTTTTTTGTACAGGAATGTATTTCTATGGTCAATGGCCTGTCAGTAAGTGATCAGATTGTTCTATAAGATGTGTTGCCCATACAATATTAGTTTCTGGACCAGATAATTACTTTATTGTAACTGTGAAGATCTCCTAAAAACTGGAAGAATATGAGTGTGTTAACCATATCTGCCTGTTGTTCAAACATGTATGTGAAAGAACTTCGGGAAGAGCTGTATCTTACTGTTCTAATGCTTTTCCCAAGCATCAATGCTTTTAGCAGCATCTAGTTAATTCTCATGAACCCTCTGCTTACAGCAATCCATAGGAGTGCTATGGGAAAAAAGACCAGGCAGTGGTGATGCATTGAATAATAATAAAATTATAAAACTTAATTTAAGAATTACTAAAAGCAGCCCTTGTTAGTATTGTACAGGGCTCCTATTTTGGTATGGAGAATGATTTACTACTTATTTTGTATCGTCTTGATCATCTTATAGGGTGACAATTTGAGAGAAAAGTGTCCAGGGGGATGACAGCATGATAACTACCTCTCGACTTCCTGCGCAGTAGCTTCCATATTAAAGACCTGCTTTTTGTATTCTTCTGCAGCTGCTGTTAGTGACGGACGCATAGTGACAGCAAGGCTAGACAAGAACAAACTGGACCACAGTTTTGCATGGCATTGAGTGTGAAAAATCTAACCCTATGTCAGGACCAGCTTTGAGGGTTTTTTCTCATGGAATCTTTTTGTAGATTTTTCGGACTAATGCTAGAAACCTTTCAAAAGGTGCGTGAGGTGTAGCCTGAACCTCTGAAATATTTGACTCCACTGGAATGAAGACTAGTCAGAATAACATTAGTTGATTTACATGGAATTATATCCTTAAATCCTACACCTGAATTGGATAGAGTGTAGATAATAAGAGTTTACTTTCTTTTCTGGCGCTGATTTTAATCATGCAAAATTAGATCTGTTTGCGTGAAGGTGGATGTCATAAGGAATTTGCTGGTTGAGGGTAAAGCCTCTCATGAGTAGCACCTAGAGATGATTGCTATGTGATTGTGGAATGACAGAATATGCAAGTTAAAAGTGTGTGTTTTTAAAAACTGAAAAAGCCTCGTAATCAAGAGTGCTTTTTTCTTCATTTGACGTGACACTCGTTTCTTTGCCCCACAAAAATAGATTGGACTAGATTAAGCCATTTTTTTCCAATTTTAATGAAAGATTTCTGGCTTTGCAAATGAAGAGTAATTTCATCTTAAATTATGAATTAAGCCTTTACCAGAGTTATACAGCACATGCTCTTTTTTTCTTGTAAAGTACTGGAAAATAATTAAAAAGGTCAAATTGAATATTTGATTCTGCAGCTAATTTGATATAAGCAGTAATGGACAGCAGAACGGAGGTGGTAATAACTGATTTATCAGGACCACGCTATCACATTTTTTCTTTGTTATACTAGAAAGGGTTTTTGAGCAACAAATCTGATCTTATCAAGGAACAACAAAATAACAGATGAGCAAAAAACTGAAGTAATTGGAACATTCTATGATTTCCACAAATAGGTTTTAAAAATTACTTGAGTCAAGGTGTATTTTTAAAAGAGATAAAAGACTAAAAATGTTTTAAAATATAGATGTTTTTCAACCCCTTTCATTGGTTTGATTATGCCTTCCACAAGACTTACATACAACACAGTTAAGAATTGTGAAAATAATTGTTTTGTGATCTTCCAAAGATTATGGATATTTTTTCATTTAAAAAAAAATAACTGTTTAAACATTGCAATTACCTGCTGTATATACCTGTGTGTATACTTGATTATATACACAATGTATATACAGTAACTTCATGGATGACAGCAACTAATTTACAGTAATTGTGCCAGTATGGGAAATACATGTGCTTGAATTATACAGAAATTGCACGAGACATCTAGACACACATTCCTTTTATAGCTTAAAATGCTAGTAATAGCATCATGGCACCCCCCATCTCAGTTAGTGTTATTCACTAATGTGTTAAGTAAGAAATACTTTACAAAACTACACAATCATTTTCAATTGATTTTTCTAAGAGTCTGAGCACTTAAGGAGTTAGTAGTTGCTACCAAATATTACTTTGGCATTTTTTAAACTTAGGGGCTTCAAATTCCATCTGTACACTCCTTATACCCTTTATTAAATCAACAGACTAGTCGAAGATGTGTTAATAACCTGCTAGGAACTCACACTTATGATTACTTGCATGCTTATTACAGGTATATTAATATTAGAAATGTTTAATTATTAAGTGATAATTGTGGTTTGTTATTATTATTTCGGTATTAGGAACCGTGTTCTGCAGTTATAAAATGTAATTTCTTCAACAACTGAAGTATCTGCAATAATTGTGTTTTTGAAGACTTGTATGGATACTTCTGTAACCCTCTAGACATCTAATGGATTTGCAGTAAGAAGAACTATTGTCAGATCAGCGTAGTTTAACAAACTCTGACAATTAGTGAATTTGTGAATACAATTGCCGGAAGATGTGATGCACCAACACTTGTGTCTGTGTTTGTCCTGAAGCCATGTAAGAAGGTTTTGATTTAATTACCAGATTTAGTCGGAATTATGTTTAAACTGTGGTGCATTACATTGCAATTGGAGTTATTCACCCTAAATTGCAATGTTTTTACTTATTTCTGCCACTGTCTTTAATCTTTTAAAAATGATCATTATCACTGATTTAAGTAAATTAATAAAAAAAACTGATTTTCTTTATGAGTGACCCTTTGAGGTCAGCCGCGAAACAAGGTTTTAAAATAAAAGGTGAATTACACACGGGTATATATGGTGTGATCTGCATTCCTAAGCACATGAACAGCTTTCTTTCTGATGTGTTTAATTTTATTAATCTGTTGCCTAAGAACTCTGTGTTTTGGAACAAGTTTTATGTACACATTTTGCACCTTTAAAATAACTTTGTGCTTCATGACATGACGTGCTGTATTATTACTATTAATTCCACCCAGCTTTATGTATGACGAAGACGTCTCTCCACCCAGTGAAATTTAGTCTGTGAAAATGTTTATAATGGGATAATAACACCTGAGTATGTGAAACATGTTTGTTGCCTTGTTCTGTACAAATGATGTAACTAAATGCAAAAATAAAATTGAAACTGTGCATTACAGTTTGTGTATTTAACAGTAGTTTTTCACACGTTTAATACAAGAAGATCACATTAGCATATCTACAAATGTAAGAAGAACATTCAAACTGCAGGAGCTTCACTAACAACACTATTAGTAATGTTACCATAATCAGTAAAGTGTATAGGCAAAATTGTTGATAAATTAGGGTACTTGGCCTAATAACCAATTATAGCTAGCATAGCTTGTACTTGCGTCACTGTTTTGAAATGAATTCAACAAAGGACCATACATACACGGATTAAATCATTTACCGTTCACTTGTTTAAAATTGTGTCCCTTTGCAAAGGGCCTCTAATTGTGCACAACAATGGCTGAAAGTGCTAAAGATGCAATTACTTTGTGGACGCCAAATTACTGACAAACGGGTGAATATGGCATATTTTTTAGTTGCACACATATTTACAGTATGGACATATATATTCATCAGACGAATTGTGTCCATGATTATCGGTGAATTGCCATGCGGATTCTGAAACTGCTCATGTCAACAGTTACTTGCAAAGGTTTACACATCCAAATGTTACTTTAACAGTTAGTTTACTATAAAGTTATTTAAAAAATCAGAACAAGGTCGATGCGGTACTGTCTGTATAAACTGAACCTTTGGGCACGAAGTGCAAAACGTCCACAAACGTATAAAGCACCTGTATGGATGCGTAAACGTCAGGTCGCTATTTGAAGGTGGGGGAGTCCTAACCCCTCCCTAGGCCTTGGGACACCAAATGAAAGACAGGGGCCACGCCGTGACGTGGTGAAGGAGCCCCATGATCAAAAGCTCTCCCCATAAACATATTGGAAGTTCTGGGGGGACGGTGACCCTATCCCTCCAGGAAAACGATCCAGTGCCGGGGGTACTGCAGGTGAATCCTGGGAAAACGACCCCACCACACAAAAAGAGAGACTCTGAGAGACGTGCACTTCTGCCCCTGCTGCGGATAGAGACCAAAAAAAAAATCTTCCCGAAACCCCTTGAAGGCGTCAGATTCACCGCCTGTGGCCCCAAACCGGCCAGGCGTGAAGCCGTGTCGCCTCGCTCCCTGACGCGTTAGAGCCGCGTCCTGCCCCGTGGAGTTGAAAGGCGAGGGCGGTCTGCGCATGCCCATGTCTCGCCGCCTGTCTGCTTGCCTGTCGCCTCGCTCTTCTGTCGGGTCCCGGTCCCTCACACAGGAACGGAATAAAAGATGGCGTTCACGTTCGCGGCCTTTTGTTATATGTTAGCCTTGCTGCTAACCGCAGCTCTGATATTCTTCGCCATCTGGCACGTAAGTTGTTGTTGTGTGTTTTTTTTAACGGGCTCCTCTTGTTTCAGGCGGACAAGCGCCGCCGCGGATTATTTTGGCGTTGTGGTTGGCCGGGGGATCAGGATGCGCTGGAGCTGATCCGTCTCCACCCCGGAATGAATGGCCAGCACTGTCAAATCGTGTACAGTTGAGGGATTGCGCGTTTATTTACACGTTTGTCTACCAGTGTTGTGTGATTGTTAATTCTGGCGCTTGCCGCGTATTCTGTACGTAAAGAGGCAGTAGCAAAACATTTAAAAAAAAATATTTGTGAGGCATCCGATGGCCTTCTGTTTGTGCTCCGGAGGGCTGTCGTTAAGTAGCCACTGCTGTCTTGGTCACGCTGTGCCTTGGCCGGCTCCTAGTTGAATAACGTGTGCTGTGTATCGTTACGGGTTAATAAACGTCAAGATTTCTTTAACTGCTTAGGTGAAATTCAGTGTTACTATAGACACGCTAGGTAGGCTTGATGTCACTTCAGATAGGTTGCTAATTTTACTTTATTATTTTGACCTATAATTAGTCGTTTTTTTAAATAAAAAATCAAGCCCTGCAGCGTGTGTACGTTTTTTATTACTAAACACTGTACTTTTATGTGTCTTTTACCAGAGGAAGCTCACGGCTGTTCGAGACCGCTAAGGCAAAATTAATCGATCACTTGTGCATCAATCGAGGCGCTCTCACATTTATCGGCTGCACGGTTTTGTTTTCTATAGTAACTTTATTTTCATTGTTTTTAAATACTGCTGTTTATGAAATTGGAATGCATTAAAGCCAATTATGTTAATGCCGTAATTAATCTATTGTTTTAATGGACTGTATGAATTTCGGCGTGCAGGTAAGTCCTGCGCCTTTCCTGACTGATCAGACTGTCCATGACTATCAGAGAAAACTAGTAACTAGTGTTCAGTATTCCAGTGAAGGGTTCCTGCCTTTCGGGGAATAGTGTTAAGACGCATTTTTTTAAGAACCTACAGAGTTAAATTAGTGATGTTCTTCATGGTTCTACATCTCCGCCAAGGAATGTACAGTAACTGTACTGTCTGTTAGATGCGGCTAAAGCGTGTGTGTGTATTTAAGTTTGTGAAGGCAAGTCAGAGACCACGCGTGTGTTGTCAGGGCCTGCTGCTGTCTCAGACAACTGGGAATGACACCTTCAACGGGGATTAGGATTAGTACAGTGAACATTCATAAAGTAACCGAATGTCTTTTGTCAAGCCATTCTCAAGGTGCATATTACTGCAGGAACAGCAACGCTCAGAGGATTGAAATTGATTTTGTGATTTTGAGAGCACTTGTTCTTAATTCTTTTGATGTATAGTGTGATGTAATGTATTCCATTATTAAATATTTATCCTCTTGCCTCCATTTTATGTGACAAATAGTTGTATCAATGACAACATTTTCATTTTCTCAAGTAATATATAGCTCTGGTATTATCATTTGAATAGTTCATGTATTTCTATCATTTTTAAATTGATTTGTTATATGTCTTATAGTAGATATTGGCTGTAATTTTTAAAAAATGACATCAATTTTTAAATCTCCTATGTATTCCTAAATATACGTCTTAGGTGGCTTATAATATTGTCGAAATTGCAAATGAGAAAATGACATTTATTTTCACAAAGAGTGGTAGAAATCAGGGACAGTCCTTCTTTAGGATTCATGAAACGGGGTAAAGATTCATGATGAATAAGATAGTAAAAACTAAAAGAATTTAAAGCTAAAGGGGGAAAATGCTCACCTTGTGAAAGTAGCCGTTAGAACCAGTGGGTTTCTTGAAAATGGTTATTTTAACTGCCACTCTGCACAGGTGTTCAACGTTCTGCCAGCTAAGAGCTGCTTGTGGTTTGAAATTGTCACTTTTGTTGCTAGATTGTAGCATTGATCAGCATGGACCGTTAACACAGTAGTGCATTGCATTTTCTTTTGAGAGCCGGGGAGGGGGAAAGAGAATACCTCCCTAAATTAGAATTTCAGGTTTCCTTGTTCTGATGAATGAAGCGTGGGTGGACAAGGATTATAAGAGAAAGTACATTCATTGTGATGGACTTCGCTTATACAGGACATATATTATCATCCAGTTTTCTATCCAGATCCTAACTCTTTGCTTTTCCTTTTCAGATAATCGCATTTGATGAGCTGAAGACTGACTACAAGAATCCGATAGACCAGTGTAATACGTTGAATCCTGTAAGTGTGCCCAGGCAGTGTAATTTTTTCTTTGCATGTTGATTTTCCTTTCTTTAGTATTTATCCTTCGCTAAATTAATGTTCCTATTTTTACTGGTAGACTTGTCTTAATTTATGCACTGTTATTGCTTGTTATTCTGACTGTTATTAATCTACTTGTGATCTTGTCAGCTGTCGGGCACTAACATTTTTTTCAATCTGCTTTTTGCATTTTGTTTTACGGCACAAAGACAGTTGAAAAGGTCAAAAAGATTAAAAGAGTCAAAATTGCATTAAAGGTTTGTACCAATCTTTAGTTTAAATGCCCGTTCAGTATAATTTATTTTAAGTCTTCAGTCTGTCATTTGCACGGAAGAGTGTTTGCAAATGTTTTTTCAATTAACATCAGGAGAAGACAAGTTTAGATTAGCTCTATTGTAAGTCCATTTTTAATTAATCAGGTCAGCAACACAAGTCACTATAACAAAAAATGATGTAGACCTAGCTGTAAGCAAGGTTTTGATTTTGAAACTTTTGGTAGTCTACATTTGAATAGCATTTATTTATGATGCATCTACAGTATGTAGTATTAGACTTAGGAAAAGTTTTTGGTAGAAACTTATAGACCACATCAATCAACATTTCCTAGAAAAAAAGTAAAGCCAGCTCACAAGATATTAGAATAGAAATATTTACAAGGTCTGCTATTGTGATTTTCATGTTCCTGAGCAAGCACTTCCTGTAGAGATTCCAGAAAAAAGCAGGAGTTAACTGAAAAGACTTGCAAATGCTCCAGACTTGCATGGTTAAAAACGACCCCCTTTGTTTGCATACAGTACTGTAAGAATGCCAATGCCAATATAAATCAACAGAAGCATGTCACATTAGAGATTGGTTAAAAAAGTTCAAGTGAAGTCATAACTAGCTCTAGTTCTCTAGTATGACTATATTTTTGTTAAGCTTATATATACATGCACCAAGTTACTAGCTAAGGCTATATGTTGCATCTGCATCACATTTAGTACAGTAATAGAGGGTTGTGTAAATGCGATGTGATTTGTTGTGGAAGCCTAAAATAAGTGTTGTAATAAAAGTTTTAGGATCCATAGGGCAGGTTTTAGTATTGGTGTAGGCTTTTGTCTGCAGATGTCTGGAGTCACATCTTTGTAATTTTCTATTTATAAAGCATAATTTCAATGAAATCATCTCAGGTAAAAGAAAATTCTGACCAGGTATCGCAGCAAGGTTGTCCGGCACATTTAGAGCAACAGAGATAAAATACTGACATTAAAAGAAACTGGGGTTTTTCAGAATCGTGATGTATTTGCATTCAGATACCTGCACAAAAAATGTATATTTACTTTTTTTTTTGAAGAGCAGAGTAGAATCCTACAAAACAGCTTGCTTCCAGTTAGAAGAAAAATGCTTGTTGCACTAACTATTGCAGCAGTAGAAAAGAGATTATGGGAGGATAAGATGCAAGCAGGGGGCGAAAAATAGTTTGTGAAACCCTTATATTTTCTTTTCATTCTGTGTAATCCTTCATAGAATGCAGATATGTATTAGGAAATATCTACATCCATATACGGTATACCCACCAAACCCCTCTTTTTTTTTTGGGTTAGCTAGTCATATTTATATGAGATGTTAGATTTCTGAGTGAAAATATTTTAACTTTTGCTTTAGAACTATGCAAAATTGAGGAAATTAAGTGCTTTCAAGATGATGGAGCGAATATTTCTTTACACCTCATACATAAAACTGAAATATAACTGTCTCTCTATAGTGCCCTTGGGATGTACACTCATTTTGTCCTCTGGAACTGTTGCACTGATGCACAGTTGGCTCTTTATAAATTAAAGCCCTTTATGATGCCACCCCTGCCAATTGCCAGTTTGAGTGCCAATATGACAGTGATCTGATGGCCTATGCATTATGACAGATAGTTATTGGGATGATTTCAAGCTTCAGAGATGTGTTGAGTGTGTTCAGTGTTGAGATTAATTTTCATCTAGCACATACATGTTCACATTTACACATCGGTGTGAATAAAAGCACTTCGCATTATAAACGTAGGAGGATGTACAAATGTTTGTAGCCTATCGTCTTTCTTTCAAATGCGAAGTATTTTCCAGAAGAAATATGCTGTAAACATAGTTGTGCCATATTTTTGGTTAAATGAATACCCATGAAAAGCTTTTTAGAAGCATTTTTTCATAAAGCTTCACTTTACAGACCCAGTTAACGATAACTAAAGGAAAAGGTATAAGGTCAAACATTTCAAGTAGAATACGAATGAAGGGGGAATGTGCTAACCTGGATTTGGAATGATGCATACATTGCATCCTAACAGCAGAACCCTGGATGACTTAATCTGGGATTTAGTTGTTAATACCAGATTTTATTGCTGCAGAGAATATAAAGATTTTTGAAAGACTGAATAGGAGGGCTTGTAATCTAGAGAGCCAAATCATTTACTTTTGTATGCAGTGCTGTATTTATTGTTTTACAGATGTGAAGAGGCTTTACAAGTAGACTGCATGTTCACTATGAAACTGATTAATGTTGTCCTTTAAGAAATGAGTAACCCGTCCTTATCAACACTGAGAGTTTTATAGAGGTCTTTGAGTGCTGCTCACTCTTAAGTTACAGGCTGATATTTATAAGATCTAGGGCAATATTCTATATTGTCACTAGAATGTACATAGTCAAGGCTGTATCATTAATTATAGACAGCTTTTGAACATAACAGCTATACAGCAGTGTTTAATCTATATCACGCAGGGGCTTATTTAAAGGAAACAGATGGCTGCAGAACTGTCTCACTTCACTGTGTTGTGTTCTTAAAGGGACATGGGACAGAGCACATGCAGAATGAAGATCTCCGACATGGGATACTATAGTGAAATCAGCCATGTCAGTGTTTGCCAGCACATGCTATGCTGTAGGCTTGTATTATCCAGAGAAGCACCTATTGTATAAATTACTGTGGACCTGAAGTATAAAGCAAAACAACCCTTGCTGCTAATTGTATTCTGTTGCCTACAAAAGCGTAATCCCACCTCTGAACTGAAAACATAGCTCTTTTGGCGTGGGCGCTGATCAGAAAGGAAAACTTTGTTGAAAGAATAGGCAGGTGCATTTGTATGCAAGTTTGGTTTAGATTATATTAGTATCCGTAACGAATTTGTGTTCGAAGCACAGATGTTGCAGAGTATTGCATTCCTTTTCCATCTTGTTTCCCTGTGAATTACGTGTGACTCTCCTTGGCTGTATCTTACTCTTGTCGTGTGACTGGTTTCAGCAGTGTAGTAAAGGCCTGCTGACATTTCCCTTGCATTTTCCAATGGAGCTGCATCCAAGGATGTGGGTAACTCGGTGTCCAGCGCATGGCTTCCTTGTGGCAGGCACTGTCATTCGCCACCTTTGCCTTATCCCAGACTTTACACTGGCACTCAGTCTGATCAGGGAGATCAGTGCGGCACCGCTAACCCCCTGTACTACCTGCGCACTCCTCACTGGGGGGGTCAGTCCATGACGCGTGGTTTCATTTCATATGTGCCCCCCCCAACCCAGTTGTGAAAAGATTTGTGATATCTAGTTCATTGCTGGATAACGTTCATGAAGTTTATTTTTTATTTAATAAGGAAAGATTGATAATACCTCCTTAGAGTTTAAAGGCTGATTTTTATATCACCATTAATTATTTTGTTAATAAATCAGCAATGTCAAATTATCATAAAAGATGTGCTCTTAATACTGGAAGGATGGTTTTTTGCTCCCCTGGGACGAGCACTACCTGTCTCAACAGGTGGAGGATCAGGAGTGTTAGTGTAATGTGCTGTGACCATGTGAGCAGTTGGCTTCATTGATTGTCATCGTGGGGTGGGTCTGAGAATGAATGTGGCATAAATGGGTCACATGGAAAGAATATGAACCTCTTCCACTGTGAATTGTTTGCAGATATATTTACATAAAACCGTAGAGCTTGAGAGAGAAATCTTTTGACAGTATCTTTAAGGAATACTGAGCATTGTTCTTATATGGGTGAACAATTATAGCAAATTTTGTATGGTGCCTTAATTTTAGTTTACATTTTATACCATCACATCCATTTATTGGTTGTGCTCTGCATTAAGCCAGCTGTCAGTTCTTAATGTTATTCTTTTTAAACTACTGTGTGGATATTTATTTTTGACACTTTCCCACATATTTTGGTACATTTCCAGACCAAATACTAAAATGTTTCCTGCTTACTGTATCAGAAAAGCCCATTCTTTATGTAACACGGACATAGTTAGAGTGGGCAAGCAGGACTGGGGGACAGGGAAATGGGGAGTTTCCTGTATTTCAGGAGCTTTCCCCAGTTATTAACTAAAAACTATTCCCTTGCCCTTTTCCCTGCTTGTTCCTACATGCCTGTCTCCGGCTGACTGTGAGAGTGCCTTGGGTCTCCTCCTTGTGCAGAGCTGTGGTGTTTGTTGTGCGTCCATGGATACGGTATGAAATCCTACTAATGGGTTTGCTTGCTTGTTTCAGCTGGTACTTCCGGAGTACCTCATCCATGCTTTCTTCTGTGTCATGTTCCTCTGTGCGGCAGAGTGGCTGACGCTAGGACTCAACGTGCCCTTGTTGGCCTACCATGTGTGGAGGTAGGTTTCTCTCCAGGCCTGGTACTGGCTGGTTAAGTTGGCCTTATATTACCAGTTAACAATTTCTTGAATACGGCTTACCTATAGCTACCTGGCAAGTTATTAGTTTTTAACCATAGGAGCATAAGGTGAGGTCTCAGTAAGGTGACAGGTGAAAGAAGGCCATTATTCCCATTTAGCAATTAATTGATCCTGGCATCTCATCCAGCTGTTTTTTGAAAGAAGCCAGGGTATCGGCTTCAATGGCTTGGCTGGGTAGCTTGTTCCATACTCCCACATCCTGTTGTATAAAGTAGTGCCTCCTTTCCTAATGAGAGGATCTCGTCCAACGGTTCCTCGAAAAAAATAAGAGTATGATCTTCAACAATATGGCTGGGCCGCTTGTTCCAGACTCCCACAACCCTTTGGCAGAGAGGTGCCTTCTGTTCTGGGTTTAAAAAATACTTCCACGTACAGTACTTCCTGTTTGCCTCCTGTGGTTCATGTTTCACTGTTGATTCTGATCACAGGATTCCACAGGATTGACTTTTTGTCAACGCCTTGGAGGATTTTGAATACTCATATCAAGTACCTGTTGTAGTCGTCTCTGTTTAAACTAATGATATAATTTCTTTCGGTCTGTCACCATGACCATAGTGATCAAAATACTGAATTACTTGGTAAAATACCCTTATTTCATATATTTTCACAATAAAAACATCTTTATAAAAGCCACTAATTTAATTTTAACTATGTACTTTAAATAGGTAGTATTTACTTGTTTTTGCCTGGTACCTTTAAATATAAACAGTTAATTTCCCTTTTTTCTAAAACACATAGTTTTTAAATCTGCATTGCATTATTCTGTGACCTGAAGTCTCACAGGCTGTAGACGTGACCAGGGGAGGGGTGTTTCTGAACAGCGTTCTTCTCCTCTGACCAGGTACATGAGCCGGCCTGTGATGAGCGGTCCTGGGTTATATGACCCAACTACAATCATGAACGCGGATATCCTAGCATATTGCCAGAAAGAAGGCTGGTGCAAGCTAGCCTTTTACCTTCTGTCCTTTTTCTACTATCTCTATGGGTAAGTCTGCGTGTTGGGGACTCCGAAAGCAATGTTCTGTGACCAGTGGAGTTTAGTGTATTGCAGCTCCCTTTGCTGTTTGGAATGTATACCACTATTCAAAATTCTGCTCCCAGACCTTGGTGCTTCCTAACACAAGTCAGATAGTGAGGTATGTTGGATAAAGAGAAAAACCTGGCTTTTTAGCTCCCTTCTGGCAGAATTTGCATCCGTAGCTTGGATAGCTTGAGAGATGAATCTATCACATGGAACTGATATCCTAAAGCCAGGGAGCAGTTTAAATAAAAATGTCAACAAAGTTTGCCAACTGCAAACATCTCCGGTCAGGGGCTTGTTAGTCCACACTGGTATCTCATAACACTAGTTTCATTTTACAGATGTTTTTTTTTCCCCAATTGGAATTGTGACACCGTTTCGTTTTAACACGTGTTTGTTTTATTTCAGGATGATCTACGTACTGGTGAGCTCCTAAAGCAGCACTCGCTACCGTCAGGGGAGGGGAAATACTGCATGCGGGAAAACGAGCTACAGCTTTACGAGCTGGGAGACTTACCGAAAGCAGAGACCTTTAGATTTTCTTCTGTGGAGTTTTAAAAAGAATGATGAACACTTGAGCCCCATTAAATCCTGAGTACCACTTTAAACATGTTATCCTTAAAAATGGTAGCTTCAACTTTATCCTTTTTATTACTACTACCTGCAGGGAAAACAGCCAGCTAAGCCAGGACGTTTCTTTTATTATTTGAAGGTGTTTGACTTTAATGGAAGTTTGAAACATTGCAGTCATTGATTTTTTTTTTCCTGTTATGGAATAAAAACTTTTGATCATTATTATACTTTGTTTACAAAACATCTTAGGACCTTTTTGTGCTATTTCATTAAACCAAATTTGTCCGTGTAGATCAGATTTGCAGCTGTTGTCTGTCACAAAACTAATCACACTGAATTGACTGTATCGTAAAAGTTTAAGTGAAAAAACTACAAGCCAAAAAAAACTCAGCACCGAGTTTGTGTGAAACTCGTGCAGTGTTTGCTTTTTTATTATGTACTGCTTTGCAGTGAGTACTTTGGGGTCGAGGCGGATTTAGAAAAAACCTTAGCACACAATGATCCTTTGGTTTAATTTTTTCTCCGGATAGTGCGTTTTGTTTAGTGAGAAGTTGTTAAGTCATTTTTAAGTAAACCCAGGTTTTCCAGTTTCACTTGGTGAAACAGCTTTATTCGATGAAAATTGTAACCTTATGAATTTAATGGTGCACTTTGAATTTTTACAAAAGACAATCAGTACTGATACCTGCAAGTGGCATTCAGCTAAATTTCAATTGCTCATTATAATTCAAGTCTTCTAAGACACAATAGACTTTTTTACTGCTGTTAGTAGCTATGCAGTTGTTACTTCTTTAATGGAACTCCATCTCCTAAACTTGTCACCTTCCGTGCTACAATGTGCCCTTGTGTTTAGTAAATTTCCTAAGAGGATAATCTAGTTGATTTGTTTTTTTGTTTGACAATGTTTAGCTACATTTTCCTAACTCTCAGTTTATATAGTTTATCAAATCTCAGAATCCAAGACCGACCACCCATGAGTTCATCATATAGTTTCTTTAATCTTCAGTTGATAAAACAATCATATTATGCTTTCATCTTGGTATGATAGTGAATGGTCTTGGTCGGGTGTATGAGTCTGGCATTAAATATGGAATGGCCATTAATATAAGATGGGTGATGCAAATGAGACTGTGCAGGAAATGTGTTCAATACTATCAAACATGCTGATCTCAAAAAACAGAATAGTGGGTCCCAAGCTGCATTATGGTGTAAGAAATTTCTTCCTAGTTTTTCTGAGCCAATGAATATACGTCTGCAGGGAGATACCACATTTGTAATGCATGTAAACAGTCCAGTAGCGTATCGTTTTAAAAGGAGTCATGTATAAAATTTGTCACCTGCCAGATTTCTATAGGAACCTAGGGCAAACTAAGAATGTGCTGGTTGTCTTTCTGTAAAAAACAAGATACTCAAGTCAGTCATGTTGAGTTGATTGGACTTGCTTAAAAACTGCTTTGACACTCCTCGTATATTGCTTTTAAAAGATATTTAAGAGAGTTTTGAATTGCTAGGATTTGTTAGAATTCTGCCTTTGCAGGGAAGTGTACTCTGATAGCACAAGACGACATGTTGTTGGCAGTTTTGGAGTTCACAACAGGAGTGAATTACACAAGGTTCAGCCTTGGTGCAAAGTAATATCTTCCCTTAAACTTTCTTGCCATAAACATTCTGTGAAGTTCTCTTGCTGCCTGTAAACCTACCAACAAATAATTGAATATATTATAGTTAATGTAACTCAAATTTTATTAAATGTGAAAATAGATTATATGTTGTGTGACATTTACTTTTCTCCAGTTAAGATTTTTTCCCAAAACTGTAAAAGGGTAAGTATTGATAAATCCACCCAATGAATTGTATGTGGGGGGGAACAAAAGTCAATGCCAAAAATATTTGGTATCCTATTCACCTTGAAAGTTAGTATTAATATCTTAGACTAATTTGTACATAAGTGACCCTCCCCAGGATTAAGCTGACTTGTTATAGTGGAGGGGAATTTAATATTCATATTTTAAATCTCATTTACCATTATAAAGTCAATTCAAGGGTCTGTCTCTTTAGCTGCTGGCTAGGAGCAAGGAATAAACTGGTTAAACTTTGATAGGGTCAGATGATCACACCCCCCAGCGGAAGAACTGATTATAACTGAAGGAGACACAGAAAACCTGCATTTCGGACTCTTCAGGCTGCATTTCAGAGCTGGAAAGCTGTTGCAGACAATGCGGCAAGTTTCATTTCATCAATACATCAGGTTCCCACCCCATCAATCTGTTTTTAAAGACTGCACCTACTCAGCATCAACTCTGTGCAAATGAAACAGACATGCAACTTAAGGTTTATTTTTAGCGATTTTCCTTATGGGAAAACATTTATGAACTCCTTTTTAGGACAGGCCTGTTTTCAAAGTCAAAGGCACATTTTACTCCCTTGTAAAAGGGGCTTTACATGAGTAACGTTTCATGTCAGTGATGTAGCTTTATGTACAAATGAGTCATAACTGCTGCATTATTTCCTGATATTCCACATACAGGATAGCTCCACAGCTTTAAAATTGATGCATTTGGCATTAATTTGCCTGTGCAACGCACCCACAACAGAACACTGGTTAAGAGTTTCTGGGGTTTCCTGCTTATAAGAAACACATAAGACAACAGGTAGGGATTCCACCACCACACATTTATGATTCCTCCATCTTTACAAGAATGCAATTTAAAGAAATGCAAAAAAATTAAGCTCACCCTTTTGGATCTGAGCCTATACGCTATAGCTATTCTTGAAGTAAGTGTCTGTTATAGTACAATTTCTTATTTTGTACAGCTGTGATACATACAGTAATCATGTTCCCATGCCCAATAACTATATTTGCATGTATGGGCATTTTCAGCTCTAATGTGGACATTTTTGGCTTTTGTTTAGCATGTATTGAGTTGCTCAGATGTTCATTTTTGCAGTCCATCAATATACAACCTGCAAAAATCGTGTTCATTTTAACATTCACACATCTTAGCCCTTTTTAAGGCAGTTGCTAATCCAGCTTGCATATGCATCTTAACCGCAAAATTTGAAAACTGGGTCATTTACTGTTTAAGTTGAATAAATCTGTCATGCAGGCAAAATGCAATGAGCTTTACATGAGTAACGTTTCATGTCATAGCTTTCTGTAAAAATGAGAGATAACTGCTGCATTATACCATGATTAAGAATTTAATATGTAAAGCATACATACAGTAAACAATGTATAACATTGTGATAGCATAAAAATTATAGGCTGAATTACAGCATTTAAAAATTTGAAAATTGCATAAAGATAGAATCACTGTCTCATGCAGGGTTTGTAAATGATGAACATGTAGAAACAACCTTTCCATTGTCATTCACCAAATAAACACTTACGTTTCATTTCAAGGGAGAAAATAAATACATTTAGCCACTATTACTAATTCAATAAAAATAATTTACACGTTTTTAAACTGGTCAGAGGTTATTGCTTTTTTTTTTTTTACTTTTAAGGTGCTCAAAGCAAGAAAGTGCATGCAAACATTAAAGGAACCCATTACAATCATACATGAACAAAAAATATGTGGCTGTTTTCTTCCAAATAAAAGAAAATTTTTGTTGTGTTTAACACAAGGTGGAACATTCTCAAGTCACACAAGCACCAAATTTCAGCAACCTCGCAGATCTTGGCTATTCATCGTGAAACGGACCTCTCTGCGGCGACTTCTTTGGTTGCTTGATAGGCTGCAGATCTTTCCCGGAAGTCATGCAAAAAATTGTATTGCTAAAAAGAAGAAAAATAAAGTTTAAAGCTGACTACATATCTGGAACAAATGACTGGGCTGACCTGAAAATCACTGTGCAACAAGCACCTGAGGGATTTTAATTCGGCACCACCCCAGTTAGCAAGCTTCACTTGCTACAGTACTGCTACCTTTGGAAATAGAGTGAAATGGAATTCGGCCAGACTGGAGGCAGAAAAAGTGAGAAAACGTACCTTGACAGTTTGTATAGCCCCAGCTCCCCTTAGCTCACGGAGGATCTCTATTGCCTTGTCAGGAGTCATTGAGCCGGACAACTGCAGCAGGAGACAAGCTGCCACTGCACAAAGAAATGGTGGAAAATGGCAGTATTTGTCAAATTGCGCTTTTTGGGGTGTGACTGCATAGGCAAAGCATTAGTTGCTTTGAAGATGCTTAATAAATATTTTTTTAACCAGAAAAATACAGCCTGTGTGGTGCAACATATTAATGTTCACATTTAACAGACAAATGCTATAATTGGTTTGTGACAGCTTATAGCAATAAGAGTAATGAAGTTACTGTACATGACATTTGAGTAGGTACAGTAGCTGTATTCTATGCTGAAAGGAAAAGAAGATTGACGCCGTGGAGCTTTCTTCAGGTCACCTGAATAAACCTTTACCTATTCATGTCCGATTTCCTGACCCATCCTGTATGCCTTGTTGCCCACAGTTTGGGAAACGGGGCCGATAGGTCCCTTGAAGACCTCCTTATCCCAACCAAATCCTGATAGGCTCAGGAAACCGACATCATGCATGGAATTACACTGTACTACAGGAAGACCTCATACTCAAGTGGGATTTACCCTGGTAAAAAAAAATCAAAATGAAAAGCGTCATACTTACTTAACCCTGAGCGACCCAGACCTCCATAGCAGCTGAAAGTAAATAAAGAAATCAGACCATGAATGGACGTTTTGTTAAAAACCTGTGCTACACTTGGCACATCATTTTTCTCGCCTTTGAGGGAACGGATTTTGAAGTACCAGTTACTTTATTTTCCCATTCCTATTTATGTTGCATAAGAGTGGGTTGGTATAAATATGGCAGTTACAATTTAGATCACAAATGCTCATTTGATATTTTCTTGGCAAGTGGGCACATTCACTAGACTTAGATTAAGAATAAAACCAGCCTTGGGTAAAGGCTATTAGAGACAATATCATAAAGGTGTTCCTTTCAAAGCTACACCTACTGTATACACAAGCCCCAAAAACATTCCACTTGCATCCTGCAATCTGTTTTTTTCTTTCACACGGGTGAGAAAAATCCCAGGCTTGAGTTGCAGGAAGACAGTTGTCTTGGGCGCAAACAGAAAACTCTCCTGCGCATGGTCACAGTCCTTTCCCAAGAGGTCTTCCAAACAGAGATGCTGTGGATGCTATCCTTGTCAGAAGTCGGCTACGAAGGTAAAGAATTTAGGGCTTTACCAGCCCTAATCAGCGAACGTGCGACATGACACTCACTGCATGACAACCCTCCTGTTGTTCTGAAGGCTGTACTGCAGCTCCTCCAGAATTTGGCAGCACTGCTCCAGCTCAGGGGTGCCCCCATCTGGGAAAGGGCGGTGGTGCACGCTCAGGCCCTGTTGCTTGTAGACTTCAATTAGCTGGGGTACACGGTACTTTTGGAGCTCCCCTCGGGTACAGAACACAAACACCTCTTCCACACCCTGGCCCCGCAGCTCTCCTGAAATTTATATGTGGGGGGGAAACATGCTTTGTAGGTCATTTTGAATACAAAACAAATATAATAATAAAAAGTCAGCATCAGCATTAATTCCCCTGACAAGATGGTCAGAAGCTCATTCTTACACAGAAGTCTTCAAGTCATTTAGTACAGAGAAAGTAAAAATTCAAACGGTGAGATATTGCATTAAAATAATATGTCCTCCATATCTGAAGTGTACCACGAAGGTCATTACTCTGAACTGACTACTACACCACATTACCACACAGGACATTGCCACACTGCTGTGTCCAGAAAAGGGTCATTTACAGCGAGAGCATAAGACCAGACCTACTGCATCTTCAGAAGTGTCTTTTCCATGATGGGATAATCCGCTTATCAAAGGAAATCGGAAAATCACAGACGTCTGCCTAACGCACAGAATACAGCAACGGCATCTCGTTTTAGATCTCCTCAGAAAACTTTTCAATCAAACCAGATCACACACAACGTATTCAAGCCCAGCAATCTGCCGATCCCTAGTATCCACACTGCGTTCAGTAGAGTAACAGCTGACTGCACAAAGATCAAATCTCTACACGTTCAATAGGCGGCTGTCTTCCATGAGTCCCAAGGGGTTGAAGATCAGACCAGTACAAGACAACTGGAAGTCACCATAGATCACCCATCCAAACAGCAGCAGAGATATTCCAGGGGCTACATTTCCTGCCTGTTCAGCTGTGGAGAACTTGAAACCCAGAGCTCTGCCGTGTTCTGAGGACTCAGGAATCCTAACAGGCCTTCCCGGTAACCAATAGTAGGTGCAGGATTAAAGTCCTTCTGTGTTTCACCCTATTGATGCTGACCTTATACTACACACTGACCATCTATGGTGAAGAGACTTTTGGAACACAATTTCTTAAGGTCAGCTTCCAGTATGACATTTCTTCACAGTTCTTCTAAAGTTTAAGTCCAGTATCAAAGATTTTTCATTTTGCAATCAAGCCCAACTAGCTTTGAAACTACATTTCTATGTTGGGCTTCTGCTGCACAGTACAATCGCCTACGGCCAATACATTTTTATCTTGAAACAGATCCTTTGGAACATTTAGAATCGAAGACACATTACCTATATCTTTCTGTAAGTTTCTTCTAACATCTTTATATTTGCATCCTGTTAAAATATAAAAACACAAAACAAGGGATTTTAAAAAGCAGCACACAGTCATACATCAAGAACATAAAAAATGCAAAGTCAAAGTACTAACTTTGAAATGAATGGAACAAATGGCAGTTTAATGTGAGCTAAATCAGCTTTTAAAACGTACTCATCATTTCCCTTAATTTCAAGATTAAGGATAACTGTATAATTCTTATCAGGATGAGCAGACTAACATTGGATGGACGGATTACAGAAAGACACTAAAGCTTTTGAGAGACCATGAAAAGATCTCAGTTCAATGTTTTTCTCTTTTCATCTTACCTGGCAAAGCACATATACCCAGGAACTGGGACCACTCCACAACTGACAGAGGTAACCTGTTAGAAGGTGGAAAAGGCAATCATGAGAATCATACTTTGGGATGTCCATTTAACCTGCATTTCAGAGACGACAGTGATGAGGAGGCTCCAGGGAACAGGCGGTCCTCCTGCAGATGATCTTACCAAGAGATCAGCAGCGGGGTCTGTTCCTCCGCGGCATCCTCTTCATCCGACGAGTCAAACTCGCTGTTCCTCATGTTGTCTTACTGGAGGCGAGACGCATAACAGACAAGTAATTCATGGAACAACTGATCAATTTCTATCACGTAGTCCTGAACTCTACTTACACGGGACCTCCGGTTGTTTTTCCACCTGATTTTGCTTTTTGTTTATCTTAGCAAACAGATCTAAGTCACTAGCAAACTGTGCTCGCTTTTCTTATTAGACAACATCAGGACTGACCTATCCCTTCTTGTATCGTGAAAAAAACATGAGTTTAAGACCAGGGACATAAAATGTAATACTGCAGCAGAAGCGTTATTATTAGTGTTGTTCCAGCTGCACGAAATCCCTGTCAGCAGGCGAGTGGCAGACTCTGCAAATTGACCGGACATCGGGAATATTGTTTCTTATGGTAGCTGGTATGACCTCACCGTGACAACAAGCGGTTCTCCGCGCAAAACATGAAACTCGCCACGACCTGCTAAGATCAGAGTGTGAAGCCACGATACAGAGGTATATCGGGGCGTTTATACTGTAGTACTGACCGTAACCTGAAAGACGGACTCTGTAAGAACTTGTTTCTAGGACTTACATAAAATAAACACACGGAGAATTCGTAGGTATCACTTAATAAAACATACCACCACCGACATGCCCTAAAAAAAATTAACGATTGCCTGGATGTCAGCACAAAATGTAAAGGGGGCTTGTGGCAGAGGTTAATTCCACGCTACGGCTCCTCACACAACTAAAGAAGTTTCAACAACCTAAAAGCTATTTTACATCTTAGTGCAAGCTGAGAAAAAAAGTCACACTAATTAAACGGAGAAGATGTGAACAGCTAACTTGAACGAAACAGTCCCGAATGCAGCAATGGCAACAGCGCTTTAAATAAGATTAGGTGTTTTCATGCATTTTACAAAAAGGCATGACACATATTTTACTTCGACAATATCCCTTCCAATAATTAATTTAAAAAAAAAGTGTTTTACCAGTTTCACAATGGCAGCCATGCAGTACTCTAACGCTGTGTTGTCGCTAAGGGATTTAAAAACTCACACTGCATCTCCCAACCAATCAGCTACGTTGGCAGTGCAGGACCCGCCCCCTCTCACGGAAAGAGCTACAAGTAACCGTCCAATAAAAAGGGGGGCGTGGTTAGAACTAAGCGTTACTTAGTGTTAAAAATTACACACTACAAGGTTATATCAGTAATTGTTCCAGTTCTTTTATAGCTTTATTCAAGATTAACTTTCAAACGTTAAGACACAATCGTAAAAACTGTTTAGCGTGAAAATGACAGTTTGATAGATGAAGAGGAAGCAATGCCAATTTAATGATTGAAGTGTTGGAAATGTAGGATCCTAAACATTTGCTTACAATTCCAAAAAACACAATAATTATTCCACACCAAAGAAAAAAGATACAGGGATGACTTGGAATGGCAGGGATTGGATATAATGTCAAACCAAAGGTGACCGAGACTAAAATTTGGCTAAAATGAATGCTGAAATAAATTAAGCGTGTAAATTATAGTCAGGAATGTATTTTCTGAGCACATTTCCATGTGAATATTTTATACATTTAAAAAATAATCTTGGTACAAAAAAATCTAGTCTTTAAATATCCTTACTTTGGAACAAAGAAACAAGTATATCCTAGTCAAAGTCTATTCAATACTATATTATTAAATATATTGAAATGCCATACTGTATTTAATTAACACCTACAAAACACTAGCGAATGAAAAAAACAGTATATTAAATATATTAGTCAAAATATATAAAGTTAGATGATGTCTAGGTGATGTCACAACGCATTAAAATTCTGAGTATCCGAAAACGTGTTTATTTTTCTTTAAGCTAATAACGTTCAGACACTATTATTCCATTAGACCAATTGTGAGGCACTCGATGTTTTGACAATTAGAAGCAAAATATAGTGTATTTCTCAGAGCTCCAAGATTTAACTCACCGTTTGTTCAAGAGTTAAAATAAATCTACCTCAAAATAAAATACGTTCTCACTGCGCCACCAGAAACCGCACACCTACCGATTACCTACGTGAGAATGCGCATTATAATTAATCAGTTATATCGTGATCACAACCAAATGAGCTACAAGATATTAGAATTCTTTGAGTCCTTGTTTAGCGGCCTCTATTGGCAGGCCAGTGAAAATGAAAAGTTTTTTCATGGGGCAACCTGCCACACATATTGTACAGAATACATACTGTACTGTGATGGGTTTTTTGCTACTCAGAAAGAGCTGGATGTGCTTTTTTTAGTACGTCCTGAGAGCAGATATGTCTCTCTTCTATGAGGCAGTAAATGGAAGTGCTAGAATTAAAACAACAATAATGAAGAATTCCCTTCTTTACCGCAAGTCGAAACTTTTCTCTGCCAAGAGTAGTGTGGGAGAGAGTTTCAGCTTTCTGTCTTCACTATGCTGTTCTGAATACTCAATCTTCAGATTGAGAGATTCAGAAAGCATTAAAGTACCTCAATGTACAGAGTGTCTAGAATATGGTGGGTGCATTTATTGTTATTTACGTAAATACTAGAGCTTTGAACACAAATAAAATCCAGGTGAAGAACAGAAATCTTGTTTAAAACAGGGCTGGGTATAGTCTATGGACAAAAAAAAAGTCCATGCAAGTTAATCGTTTGACGTGACGCACAAACTATCCCCTTTGTTTGGGGGGGTTTTTTCCAATTGAGTGTAGGATAAATATGTCACGTCATTGGGTACAGTAAGCATCTGTATGTACAGGATATTCTGTGGTGTGGGAGAGTGTAAATCGCAGATTTTGTATTTATCTTTGTAAACCTGAACGCGATCGGAAATTAGTCCTAAATTAGGACAAAAGTATTGGTAATCTGGGGACACATCTAAAATTTAGATTTAAGGCATATCAAATTTACTCTAGTTTGGAAAGGTTTCTAATAATTCACTCCTACAGTCTCTGGAAGTTCAAACATATTCAGTCTTTCTGTTGTGGAGAGTCTGTAGGGTGTGAATCTCTGTAGGGCGCAGGAGGAACGATTTGTCAGCGAACTCAAGAGTGCAGCCTCGGAACTCCTCAGCGCTTCTTGCAGAGGGAGGGAGCACTGAGCCCACATAGAGGGTAATGAGATAAGCGCCGTGACCGAAACGGTACGAGTCGGTTCAGGTAGGTGTGCACAGGCTAAACTGATAAACTTTTATTCTATTACTTCTTCAAAATGTAATTCTTGTTTGGATAGTTTTTGTAACTTAAGTGACCTCTTCAATGTAATGACGTTAATGATACGCGCTGTTACAGTAAGTGTTTATTTTAGCGCCAGTCTGAAAAATAATCTTAGGTCGCGATTGCATTTCTGTGTCCGTTTTGTCGCTGTGTGAAGTATTGAAACAGCACACCTGAGCTTGTTAAAATTTGAATCTAAATCTAGCAGTTTTACAGAATTGTGAATGTCGCTACACAATTACTAGAAGGACTACAGAAAATATCTCCTCATTCATAAAAATAGATGCGAATTTAAAGCAAGATTTCTCAGTGTCAAAAGTTAAATACCTCTAGGGCATTCCAGAAACAGGTGTATTTTGGGAGGAAGAATCATTCCTGAAACTCAAAACGTTAATTATGGCACCTTGTAAGCCAGCATACACCTTGACTATTACTACAATAGTATCTACTGTATGTAACTTTATCCATAGGTTCTAATACAATTAGTGTACTGGTGCTTAGTGGAGCTGGGGGACATTATAGACCACATTGAAGGCCAAATAAATGATTTTAACTTTGTGCTGGTGTTTTTTTTTTAATTACGTTTTGTATTTGTAGTGACATGATTAGCCCTCTTGTCCTTTGGTTTGTATTTGAGTTGCAGGGATAGAAATGGATTAAAAAAACAGGATCGGATGCCTTTTGCATGACTGTTCCACCACTCCAGGCCCGATTCAGTATTGCAGTTGCAGGCATTCATCTGCCCTGATTAGAAAACAGATCTTTCTGGGAGAGAGCTGCCTTGTCTTGGAAGCCAGCCCTGCTATGTAGCTCAGGGAGGGAGAGAAAAAGCACACAGCTCCACACCTGAGGGAGACTGCTGGCAGTAAACACTGTACCCTAGAGAAGCCCCAGCACACCATTGATGTCATTTCCCTTTAAATTCATTTTTATGGTCTAGAGCAGCACTTTAAACGGGGCCTCATTCATTATTCTCTGCACTTCAAGTGTCCCGATGTTTATTGATTTTTCATTCAGTCCTTTGTTATCTGATGAAAGGCATTAACTTTCCCTTTTTTAAAAAGACCATCAGGGGATCTGAATTCCCTTGACGGCAGCACTGAAAGGGTTAGTTTTCTGTAGCTTTTTTAAACTGATGAAATCATACAAATACCTACTACTGGATTCAGAAATCAAAACAGAAGTGCTGAAGGAATAATGTAGTGTAATGCTGTGTAATGCAGAAGTGAATGCTATTTTTCTCTTTGTTTCCCTGACATTTAATCTCAGCTGACAAAACACTGTTAAAAAAGGGATCAGGAGACAGATCATCTCCCCAGGGAGGGGCCGCTTCCAGGTAGACTGCTCTGCTCTGCTCTGCTCTCTAATGAGACAGAGTTTGTATGTGTGCTCTTTAACTGTGCAGCTTGCTGCAGCCATTTAACTAGAAAAAGAAAAACAGTCATGGTATCCAAAACATAGAGTTTCAGTTTGCTCACTGCACAAAAATACAGCCCAAGCACCTTTTTATCTGTAACAACACCTGCAATGTTTTTTGACTGGAGTGACTGCAGTACAGATCTCAGGGGTGGGGTTTTTTGCTAATTCTGTGTGTTTGAACAAAGCCTTTTGCGGTTCCTTCATTGTCTGTTGTTCCCTTCTCCCAGCAGAAGATATGAAGGCAGTAGGGGGAGGACTGAACTCTGAGATCTCAAAGGTACACGGAGCCTACGTGTTTTAGCACTTACGTTCAATCACGATAAAAAAGTGCTTTTGTAGTCGTGATGTTCAGTACATGACTCAGCCATGTGGCAGGCTTTTCATGTGGCTTGATTTCATGTGGAGTTACCAGTTACCAGTTGTTACTGGTTATACCAGGCGTTACCAGTTACCTGATGGTGTCCCCACAGTTACAGGAGATGGTGGCTGAGCTGAAGGCAGATTTCTCCTCCGCCCTGCTGGAGCTGAGCAGAATACAGCACAGTGACAGCTGTCTTCAGCAGGACATCGAGCAAACCAGGCAGCACTGCAGCCAGCAGGCCCTTCAGCTCCAGGCCCTGGTGTGCAGCCTGAGGGTATGAGGGAGAAATCGGGGGGGGCACCATGGCCCAATGAGTGATGCAGAGCTGGTACAGTACAGGGCATAACAGAACACCAGGTTTAATTCATAGCAACTTCTGTTGGAGAAATTATTCCCCCTTCCAGACAGTCAGGGGTCCGTCTCAGAAGTTAAAATAAGTTTTTATTTCATGCACATGGGAGTGAAACACACAGAGATGCTCCGCGTATTTTTCTCAAAGTAATTAAACTAGAGCAGTCCCTAGCAATATGTTTCTGCTATCTATCACACTTACCTGTGCTTACAAGATTGGCTAAAGATAACTTCTTTTAACGCAATTGGTTACTTGGGTTCCTAGCGCGTATTCCTATATAACAGTATAGAACTACATAGAAGCACTTGTGTCCAGCATTCTCCCAATCCAGTTCAAACTGGTTCTGAATGTCCACGTTATAAAATATTGCATCTTCTGCAAGAAAAGTGTGTGCAAAGTTCACAGAGACCCTCTCAACACTTCTCTTCGAGATTTTTCCACCCGCAGGCCTACCTGGTTCCTCTGCCCAGCTCTGAGGAATTGTGAAGCTATGGTCTGTACTGGTACAGGAAACAGTCATGTGTTCTTCCTCCTATTAAGCACGAGCTCGGGGAGGCAAAGAGTCAAATCACACAACTCAGTGATCTGCAGCTGCAGCTGAAGCAAGGACTGGAGGCCATCCATTTTGATAGAAGACACATCCCGGAGACTTCAGCCCAACAGATCAACGGGTAGTGTACCAGATATTTTAAATGTGCTATTCTGTGTTGAGGTTTCTGTAGCTATGTTCCCTCCAGAAAAATTTGGAAGACTTGTTTTTGAAGGATTTGCTTATTCCTTTCTTGGGGTCCGTCAGAAGGATGTGCTGTAAAAGCTTCACACCTATTCTGATTACTGCACCCCCCTGTTGTGCCGTTGTGTCACTAGAGAGAGTGGAGTGAATGGCCAGTGGGAACTCTCCACACTAGGTCCAGCACCCAGGACTCGGCTTCTACTGCACTGCTATCTCCAGGGGGTCAGAGCAGGACACTGCCACGGCCAAGGTGGGCTTACTGGGGAAACAGAAGAAACATTTTCCATTCTCACCTCTAGTAAGCGGTTTGGTGAGACATATTTTGCGTGCATTTTTAAACATTTTTTGACTTTGCAAAAACATATTTCGTCACCTCTGCTCTGTTTCTGTTTCTTCATGCAGGAATTGAAACAAGGCCACTCTTTTTCTTCTTGTTACAGACGTGGCCTGCTTTGGTCAGGTGTCTCAGAGCGTCTCTCTTGAGCTCAGCTCCTCCCTGACCCCAGCCTGCGGGGTGGGCACCCCCTCAGGACACACACCACATAATCCCCTCAAGGCCCCGACCAGGATGCCCCCTGCCGCAGCTCCATGGCCAGGAGGTGTCCTGCAGTCCTGCTCTCACCAGGGTGTGCTGCTCTCACTCTAGGGCTGCTGTGTTCCTAATTTTCTGGTTTAGATGAAGCTTAATTTCCAGGTGGATGGTCCAGATGAAAGTGTTTGGGAAAATGTTTGTTGCATTGGGATTGGAAAATCTGATCAGAACAAAAAAGGCTTACCCAAAGCTTCTATTGCTACTTTAAACCACAGATTACCTTGGTCGGCTAATATTGCTAATACTGAGGTGCATCTTTCATCAGACATGTTCATGAAGTCTGTTTGGATCTGTGCTTGGATCTGTCATTTTTGACAAGTAGCAAACGGTTTGTTGCCACTGTAAGTTTCATGTATTATTCTATGTGTTGAGGGGAAACAGTGCTGTGTGTGTCAGTGGAGATAATTCCTGTGGCTATAAGCCTGACTGGACATTCTCCACAGACAGGAGGCAGCAGGTTGCTCTGGCGTTGCTCCAGTCTGAGAGACAGTACGTGTCCAGCTTGTATCAGCTTCAGACTCTTTATAAAACAACTCCATCACCCCTGCCAAAGACACGGGAGCTCTGGTAAGCCATGCAGAGAAGAACTACGCACCTTGTGAAATGACCGTCTCGATCTAATTCTATTACCTAACATATATCTCTCCATATACAGTACGTCCTAGCAGTAACCCCACCACAATCGTACTCCACCTTGCACTATCTAAAAGAGGACACCCTCAACCCAGGCCCTGACAATGATCCTAAAAACTATCCCAAAAGATTAACTTCATCCCAGACCTAACCCAAGCTCTCTAACAAGTTTGCTCAGCAGTTCTAATTCTGCATTATCACAACCAGTACTCTAAATCATGTCATGTCACAAATGCAACCATAACTCTAATCACGACTATAAACCCAGCATAAGTCTGCCGCCAAGCTTATCTCATTTAGGAGTCTCATTTGGATTTTCATCCAGTCCCTGTTGTGTCCTAGTCAGGTGTTTCTTGTAAACCTGGAGCAGTTGCTACAGTGCCACCTACAGGTCAGAAACTCTCTGGAGGAACGCATCTCTGTCAGCGGCGGGCAGTGGCAGGGCCTTGTGGGAGATGTGTTTGTCAAGCTCACAAGCCGTGAGGTAAGCAGGCTGCTCTTCCTGATCTCCCACACATCTTTCAGTGTCAGGATGTAGAGGTACTGTACGCGAGAGCTCTCTTGTCTTCATTTATTTCCAGTGCAACTTTTCGGACACCTACCTGACATACCTCAGGATGGTCCCTCTAGTTCTTTCAGAGCTTCTCGAGTCAGAGAGTGACAAGATGGCCACACAGGTATGGACTAAAGACTGGCATTTTAATGACAATATTTTTTTCCCTTGGAAATCAGCTTCAGTATACCTTTCATCACCCCCAAACAAATCACCTTAGCACATCACAGTGTGGGCTAAGACTTTCTCTGTGAACCTGTAATTCCTTTAGTACTATGATGTGCAGTAAATCCAGAGAGAGACAGCAGTCTCCGTGTGACTGATCTTGTCTGGTTTGTGCAGGGCAGACTGGGAGAGAAAGAGGAGCTGGAGCTGGTTTCTCTCATCCTGATGCCAGTCTCAAGGATTCATAGCTACCTCTCACACATCCAGGTGTGTCTTCACCTCCAGACACTCCCACTAGTCTGTTCACATAATGCTATCTCATCCTGGGGAATGGTAACATCCTATAGCCCTGACAATAAACTCTTCAAGAATATACCTCATAGAACTTAATCAACTTAATCAACTTCATAACATTAAAGATTTAAATATCTCTGAGGAGATTAACTCACCTGTCAGGCTGGGCATTCCTTATTCTTTCTTTGATTTCTTCAGTATTTCACCAGGTTCTGTGATGCTTTTTCCCAGGTATAGATAGTCAAGGTTAACAATTGCCCGACATAAATTATATTTTAATTGATGGCCTACTTTCATGATGACGGATGTGAAAACTCCACGAGATGCCACCCAGTACTAATGTGAAGCACATCCAAGGCTTTATTTGTTCTTGTACATGAGATTTCCTGACTTTTTGTCAAGATGTAAAATCTTAAGACAAAACAAACAGTATTGCAGTACTCGAAGGCAAGACTATACAGAGTTTAGAGTACCCACAAATGTTAATGCCTTTTATTAGATGGCCCCTTTTAAAATAACACCTTAAAGCCTGTGCCTTTTGTGTTCTGCAGAGTTTGTTTCGATGGACAAGCAGGGAGCACCCTGACCACTGTCTGCTATTGCTCAGTGAAAGGACATTGAAACATTTCCTCTCCCGCTGTCAGGCTTTGATCAATGATACCACCACACAAGCTGGCCAGGATGTTGGTGAACTCAGGTGGGTCCATCATTCTCAGGCTGTTAAGGAATGGAGTTGGAGAGAAGGTGTGGAAGTATGATCTCACCACGATTGAGGGGGTGTCTGTTTCCTTTCCTTCACCGATTCTACCCCAGCCTGAGCAGCTTTAAAGACGATGTACTGTAGATGTCAACACAATGGCTTAGCTGTAGGGCTTCAGAAGCAGCATTTACCTCGAGATTAAATTAAATTTGTCATTGAGCAGCATACAGGAAGAATCCTGAGTCACGGATACCTTTTTTTTTCCTGTTTGGAAATTTGCCCAAACCACGTCTCACTTACAAAAACAGCCCTGTACTGAACTGGAATACTGCAGTAGGTATTGTGTTGCGTTTAACAGCTTCTAACTCGTCCTCAGTTTGCCCAGAGTGTAGCACAGGGACAAGAGTGATGGCGTGTTTGCAATTTTAACTTAAGCGATACATTAAAAAGAAATGAAAGAAGAGAAAAAAATCAAGATTAAAACGAAGGCTTATGAAATTACGATTCAAATAAAACCAAAGGTGGCTGCTGTAGGTCTTCAACTAGGTCTGACGAAACATTTCACCTCTTTCAAACTGTAGACTGAGGTCTTGGATGTAGCACTGGAAAGCAGAGGGTTGAATTGGAAGCAAATTGTAGACTGCTGTAAAGTGACTTTGCGAATGCACTGTCCTGTGCCCTGGGTCCTGCTTGCCACAGTAATGTGATAAGACAGAAGGAATCTGTGTTTCAGGAGCACCAGCGGATTCCCTACTGAGAACAGCACCAGGGCTGGTGAGCTGAGCCCCATCCTGAGCTGCAGCAGCAGTGCCAGGGACAGCGGGATACAGTGTGAGGAGCCCTGCAGTCCTACGTGCCGGTGAGCACAGGTGCAAATAACTGGGGGCATTTGCCTTCCAATGTATTAACAAAGCACTTCTCTGACCCTCTATACCTTTATTAATAGTAAGACGTGATCAATCAATCTCCTTTTGTGAGGCTGTTTTCCCAAATTTTATATTTACTGTATCCCTTTCTAAACTGTGTATCTCTCCTCGCTGCTGCACCAACACTATTCCAGATCAAACACCAGTTACAGGTCATATAATGGTGAATCAACTGAATCATTATTAACAGTTCACCAAAGAGTATGGGACAAGACAGAATAGATAGCATTGGGTATCTGCAATTCCGTGGTAATCTCCCAAACACAAAGTAAAAATGCATTCAAATCTGCTTTAAAATTAACAGGATCAAAAATTCTGGAGCTGCCAGTGAGCACATGGCACACAGAGCTTGTGCCTGTGCCATGGAGCACAACTTCCAAAGGCTGTTAATAGTACAGCAGAATGAGCTTCCAAACACAGAGCTGGAGACTTTTCTTTTCTTGTTGGTCTGGAGCAGGAGGATCATTAGTTCATCCCAGCTCAGGACAATTAAAAAAAACATACCCGAGATTTATTGATTGTAATCGCACTGCATTGCTTTGAGAGGTGTATTGAATTTATTCTGGAGGAGTATCAGTTAAGGACAAGGGTGTTTTGTTCAGTTGTTTTGTTATAAATTCACAGGCAAAATCTCACTTTAAAGAAAACTGCCCTTCTTTGTAGTTTTATAGCAGCAATTGGAACAAAAAAAACTAAAATCATGATGATATATTTTAAAATAAAATGCATTTTTATTCATTTCGAATTATCTTTTAAATTCAAAGCAATCATAAAAAAGCCAAAAATATTAAAGGGATAAAACTGATGATTTTGTTTGCGACAAGGAAAGATTTGCTGGAGCTATGCATTTTTATTCTTGACCAGATACTCATACATCTGCTTGCACTTTTTCTAAACCAGAAGCGAACTGCTGTCTGAACTGAACTCTGCAGTGCACTCTGGGAAAGCAGTCCCCTGTCTGAGGAGCCCGGGTTGGCAGAAGAGCAGTCAGGGCAGGAATCTACAGCCTCTCTCCACTGTGGAATCTTACAAACCACAGAGCCTTACCTCCAGTAACACAGAACATACCAGCTTCTCACACCAAGGTGGGGCAGAAAGGCTGACACACTCCGACACAGCCACATATTCCAGCTGGACTCGGCAGCCCCCGACTTGCCTTGGAAAGGGGGCAGGGAGCTGCAAGTCCATCATGGACAAGGCAAGCTCGGAGGGGCCTGACCCTGACTTGAACGATTTTGCGGATGCCTCAGTTTTTGATTATTCCTCCATCACCTCCTCCAGTCCCGACTGGACCACTGGGGAGGAAGATGGCGTCTGGGGCAAAGGTGACCTTGGTGTGCTTGAGGATAAAGCTGAAGAGCAGGTGTCATTGAGGACACATTCCTTCAAGCCAGTAAGGGCCTCTCAAAGAGAAGCCTCCCCAATGTGCAGAGAATCTGGGGCTCCGTACACTGAAGGACATATGTTTGAATATTCTGACGAGCTGCCTACAGGGGGCATTGGCCCAGAGAACTCCAAACAGGTACCTTGCATGCTTGTGCTCTTCATCACTTACAGTACCTGTGTCAGCATTATGGGTGGGCATCAGTAACAACTGTTCCCCCTCCTGTAAAATCAGGCAGATCCTGCTTTGGCAAGGGCCAAGTTGAGTAAACTCCACAAAGCAGCGAGGGATCCTGGGAGATCATCTTCACCCAGGTGTCAACAAAGCAGAGTGGACCTCAGGTAGGAGTTGCTTTTCTACAGCACTTGAGGGGATGGAGGTGTGGAAGACCAAGTGAAAAGGTCAAGACAGCGATTATGCACGGGAAAGGTTTTCTGTTTGCACCTAAGACCACGGTCTTAGGTGCAAACTAAAGCTTGTGATTCTTCACACCCATTCAACCAGAGAAATGAAACAGATTGCAGGATGCCAAATGGCATCTTTCTGTCCTGTTTGTTTGACTGCCCCTTTTCCCTTATGTTCCTTTGATATGTTAAAGTCTTGCCTACTTTTAATGTATAAAAAGGAAAGTGTCACTTCAGTCCAGTGAGCATGTCTTACTGAGTGCTAGAGGGAAACCCTTTCTCTGCGATATGTTCCCCTTCAGCTGACTGAATTAAAGATCTGTTTGACAATCTCCCAACCTGAGTGAAGACTGAGTTTTCTTCGACAGAGGCAACGAAGTGATAATCCTGCAGCAATTAATAAAATAATTTTTTAACCCTTTGCTAATCTCTTGAAGAAATGAATGAAATGCTAGTTGTCTCTTGAATCCTCAAATAAGAAATATCCCGTAACAATGTTGGCTGGAAAATTGTCCTCATCTTTTGATTTTTCAGTATTCTGGTACTTTTATCCTCACCTGTATTTCTCCATTCAGTTTCACAGAATAACCACGTGTGTAGATTAGTCTGCAATGTTTTTGTGTGCGTGTTGCTTTGAGTGTTGGAGTGGCACATGACTTGCAGCACTTTCTCTGAAACAATAGTGACAGATAAACTCAGTGACTGCTTCTTTCACTTTCAGGTCTTTCCAGGAGGACGCTGTCTTGAAAGCTCAGGGCATTACCTACAGACGAAGGGATCCAAAATGTAAGAGATCTGCCCCACATGGACCACCGGATGACTGTGAATGCAGCCGGGACAGTGAGGACCCATGCAGCACTGTGTGACTGAGATGCAAACTAGCTCTTCTCTCAGGGTCAGCAGTCGAGAAGAGCAGAGCAAGGACAAAAGCTGTTACCTACAGCTTTAATACCTATTTAATATGAAATACCTTGAGCTTTTACAAGTTGGGATTCTGTTTCCCTGCAATTACTTTTGAACTAGTTGCCACTATGAGTTAAGGTTAAATATTCCTCATCAGTCTTTGTTTTGCATTCATGATCTTACACGTGCCAGTAAGATCAAAAGTCCTGCACATCTGTTGAACTATAGCGGACTGACATTTGTCTCTAACACTCTACCTGCACTAAAGCAATAAACTTGTAGCACCTAAGAAAAACATTCAGAATAAATTTAAGTGACTATGTTAGAGACTGTAACATATTGCCAACACATCCAGGGTTATACCAACTTGTGCTCATTGCTTGCCAGGATAGGCTCCGACTCCCCAGTGACTCTATATTGGATGAAGTGGTTAGAAAATGGGTGGAAGGCAAAAAAAACCTAACTGAAATGAAAATGAAAAGGGCTTTGGGAAAATCAAGAGGGAGAGCGAATTTATATTTAAGTAGAAAATAAGACTGGGGTGATTTATTAATCTCATTAAGAACATTAATACAAAGCACAGTTAAAAGGCCACAGACCATCAAATAAAATCTGGGTAGCATCAGCTACTGTACAATAAAAAGCTGCTACAGTACAACTTATGAAAGAAATGGAAGGGCTTACAAAGTCAAGCAAAGGAGAACTGATTTCACTGAGATTTCGTAAGGAACAACCATTTTGTTGATGTCCACAATTAAAACCATGTCCAATACCCTTGATAGTAATTTTTAAATTTACCCATGATCTGCAACACTGAATAGTAGGAGAATAGTGCCAGAAACAGGCTGGGGAACCAGGTGTTGGCACTGCATCATAAATCTGAAAGCTCTCCATGCAGTTCAGGAATTACAAAGGCAGAAGCTGAATGAACACCAGCGATAGGCCTGGCTGTGTCCTGAACTTCCTGCAGTGTTTATACTGCCACACTCACTGCTGGCTGTGGTGTTAGAAATACGACATTTCCCTTTACTTTGAAGAAAAAGCCATGGCACACATTCTATTTAGCAGTCAAATTAAAACAGTGGAAAGAGGAAATGACATTATCTGTCAGACTGTAGCAGCATTTGATTGTTAAATAAGTTGTTCCTGACACATGAAGGCAGAAAGGGAATTGTACAAGACTGAGAAATCACTTTATACAGATTAAGTAATGTCTGTATGTGTGTATTTACAGATACACACTACATCAACAAAACTGTACATTTCTAGTATAGAGCTCTGTTCTAAGCATTATTTAGGCCACAGATTTTAACATTTAGACACCATCTTTCACTTGGGAAAGTAGAAAAACAAAACACAGAAAGGCACATCCGAGTAAGATGCATTGAGTTATCTTTTAAAAACGTCATTCCATCAAAAAGACATTTCTTTTTAAAGTTTAAGTTTAAAGAAAAAACCCTCTTCAAGCATCCAAATATTAGACATCAGTACAACTAGTGCATTCTTCCTTTTTCATTTGCAGGGGGGATTTGGGGTTAATTAATGTCAAAGTTTCCAAACCGGTTGAGATTAGGATTTTTAAAGTCATACAGCTTTGTAGTTTTCCTTAGCATCAAACAGAATGATGGGCTTAAGACATCATCTTTTTAAGGAGCTTAAGGACTATAGCAGTTACTTCCACAGATCCGTGGATTTCCGAATTGGGATGACTTGTATTCCAGTATAAACATCAAAGTCCATCGCCAGTGACTTTATCAACTTCACTGCTCTTGATTAAAGGCCACTACTGAAGCAGAACAAGTTATAAAGGGAGTCCCACACAGACGCTGTCCTCCTGTTAATGGCTCAGTGCAACATACTAAAGTTTAATGTCCATGTTTATACAATACAGTGCAAAGAAGAAATGACTGAAAGAATTCCATGAAATCTCAAATTTCATTTTCCCACGTGTGATGCCTAGCTGTAATGCATAAGAAAGACCCCTGCCACCTGCTAACAGCATGATTCTTCAGGCAAGCACAAGCTATGAACTGATGTACATTACTTTTAGTTCTGGTCGCTCAATGCCTTGAGCAAGGCATGATACTGGTGACTACCAATCAGACTGGTGACTCTGGACCTATGCCAATCTTCTCAGTTCTATTTCAATGCTCTGAACAAAGCATTGCTAAGCAAAACAAAAAAGAAGAAATATAGGACTATTTCCAATTCTTTCTTTGACTACATTAGTTTATAGGATCCTTGTAATTCCACAATACTACAGAATTCACATAGCAGTGCTGTCAGAGACGTAATTTTTATTGTACTAAAATACTTTTTGGGCACTACTACCAGTATATTGTGCATTGGGTACAGTGCGTAGTCTGCACATAAGGTATGGTGAACCCCAAAAATGCTTTGAAAAAAAGAGATTACTAACATTAATCCTTTGCAATTAGTGTGCAACTGCACAATGGCAAGAAAGCCCCCCTAATGCATTACGTTCATGCTGTTCTTAGGTGAGCAACAGGTCATCTTCAGGGTCCTGGTGCGGTGCAGAGCTCATCTGCAGTCTCCCATCATCTGTACTGGCACGAGGCTGTTGTTGGCACGTGGGGTTTGAGTGACTGATCCCCTGAGAGGCGGCGGCGGTGGTGGTGGTGACAGGGCGTCGCAGGAGGCAGGCCAGAGGCCGCTGTCGGCGATCGGGAGCTCCCGCATGAAGTTCGCCTCTCCCGTCGCGCGTTCGGGTTCGTGCAGCGCTCGCCGTCCGGCGTGGCCGAGCCCGGGGATGCTGCAGGGCAGCGGGGGGCAGAGGCTGTGCCTGTGGGGGTGGGGGGGGTGAGGGCCTTAGGGGTTGGCGTTGGCGTTCTCCACCAGCGAGAGGCTGTGCAGCGGGTGGGAGAGCTCCCTCTTGTAGGTCTTTGGTGGCAGTTTGGGGAGCTGGGGGTTCGAGTTCTGGCGGGGAGGCACCGGGGGGGCCGTGACCGGCGCAGGAGGCTGGCAGAGGCTGTTCTGGCTGGCGCTCAGCGGGCAGCAGCGCCGGGGCACCCTTGGGGAGGGCGTGCCCGGCGGGGTGTTGGGCGAGCTGGGTGAGGTGCTGAACTCCCAGTGGAAGCGGCCCACAGGAGACGGCTGCAGGTTCAGGGGGTAGTTCATGAAGATCTCCGGTGGGCGCAGGGGCACAGGTGGGGGGGTGTCAGGGAGGGGGTCCCTGGGGGGCGGTGGTGGCGGGCTGGGCAGGGGGCCATCGCTGGGGCCGTTGTAGGTGGGCACTCTGGGCTGGATCCTCGTCAGCGGCGGAGGCAGTCTGGGAGGGATGGCTGGAGGGCTGTCAGGCCTGGGACCCGTCTACAACACAACCACATGGACCAACCCCTGGTTCACCTTCATTTTTCACTTTCAATTCAGCAACTGTTGTGTCCCTGCCCATCACTTCCTACACTGCACAGGAATAACAAGGGCCAACACCCCCACCTGTCAGAGCCAGGTGTTCGTTTCAGGACATCTTTTAGGCAAGCTCTAAGCGGGGTCTCTCACTGACGGGAGCTGCCACTGTAGGCTCAGGCCGAGAGAGACTCTAGGTGAGTGGAGTGTGTGCCCTGCTCGGGGAACCCTGGCCACAGCTGGCTTGTGTCATGGCGTGGGCCGGAGACGGTGGTGTCTGTGTCACAGGCCTCAAGCTGCACTCTGCTGCAAGCACCCCCACCTTAGGGCTGTGCTTGCTTTTACCAACACAAAAGACATCCCGTGGTACAAAAGGTGAAATATATATGTGTATGTATATATATATGTGTTTGAAAACTACAGCAAAACAGTAAGACCCTTGCGACTTAAATTAGCTCATTCTACTCATCTTTTATTCACAATGAGCAACTACTGCACCATATAATAAAGGAACAGACTAGTCAGTCTACAAATTCAAGAACAACAGTGTGAACAATTCACAAGTCCGTAAGATAAGGCAAAATTCCTAAACTGACAAATTGAAAGTCAGAAGAAAGAAATTGTATAGAAACAGGGCTGTATTTTGTATTGCCTGGGAAAAAAGAGCTTTGATTTGTCAAAACTGGACAATGTCAAGTAAAACACATTATGTACTGTTTGACTGCTGCTCTAAACCCAGAAAATGAGGATGCAGACAAGTGCATGAGGCGTTACCTTGGCCTCTGTGATGGCGTCTTTCCTGCGAGGGGGCAGTGGGGGTGGCTTGATCAGCTCCTCGCTGAGCTGGTGAAGACTGCCGCATGACACAGAGTACGACTCTGAGAGAGACACAACCACAGGGACAGCCATCAGACCCAAGGCCAGGGCGCCACTGGAGGAAGAACAGACCGATTTCCTGCCTCTCCGAACACGAAGGGGGAAAGGAATGGTCATCAGTCGCTACAGTCACCCTTACAAGATTTCGCAAAAAGAGACCCCTTATAAATATCACATCAGACACTAGGGAAAACAATCCTCGATTTGCATCACACTTACTTGATGTTGGCAGTAGTACTGGAGCGAAAATACTGTTGCTTCCTGTTAAAGACCCAAAAAGAAAAACAAGATTTTAGAAAATACTTGTGCACTTGAGAACAAAGGTATTTTTGAGCATTTCTTAGGGTGAGTGCTCAAACGACCTAACAGTGAATTTATTGACAACACAGCTGAGGAGTGGCTCCAGTGATCTAAACCTGGATTACTGGAGAGGTTACTCAGGCCCGGCGTGTGAAAGCACACAGAAAGAAACATGGGATAACCAACCGAGCAACAGGGAAGAGACTCTTCTAGCTCAAAAATTGGAAAATGGGTCCAGGCAGAAAAGTTTAAAAAGGCCGAGCTGCAGACCACTGCATGGGGGTGTCCCTGCAGCTCAGACAGGCAGCGACAGGGACAGAGGCTCACCGCAGGAGCTGCTGAGGTCTGCATCCAGGAACACGGAACCGAGGTCGGAGGAGGCGGACTGCGGGGGTGTGGAGGGGGTGTTGGGAGAGGTAGGCACGGACGCAGTGCTCTCAGTTTCCGTCTCGGCGATGCTGCGGAAGGTGATCTTGTGGGGGGGCTCCCTTTCGAGGGGAACAGGGTGGCCCTTCAGGCTGCCTGAGGTAGACGTGTGGCGCACTGGCCGGATCCCTGGAGACTTGAGCGTGTAGAGAGTCTTCCTGGGCTGCAGGGGGCAGAAGCAAGCTTCAGTGACGTCAACACCACACACCAAGATTAGAATCGCCCAATGAAACCTTGACGTTCATTCCCTCCATATGTTGTCATAACGATAACGGCATAAACCCCAAACTGTTTTTGAAAATTGATCTGAAAACCATAAAAATAAAGGTGAAACAGAAAAACATTTTTTCAAAGAAAAACAGAAACTCGGCACAGCCCTGAGAAAATCAGATACTGCTCTTGGCAGAGCAGGTCATAAAACTGGAGCTCACAGTATCTCAAACGTCCTCCCAATTTGACAAAGTGTGCTCATTTTTGTCAGGACCATACTGTATGTTGGTAAGATGCAAGCAGCCAAGTTACTTACGAATCTCGGAGGCTGTTTGCAGTTGCGAGGCTCTATCTCCATGGACTTGTTAAACAGGTAGTCAGAGAACTCTTTCTCACTCATATTCCCCATGGGGTTCAGGTTTTCAAAGAACTTCTAAAAAGAAATGCAAACAAGCTCACTTTTATTTACGCACAATCCTTAATTAGTTTGAGTCCACGATTATACAGTGGATTTATACAGTCACTGCAAGAGGCCTGAGTTTATGTTAAACTGTATGGTGCCTATAGTTTTAATTCTGAACATTGCTGCAGGTAAGCAGAGGTTTCCTAGTCACCTGGCCTGCTCCATCTCAAGGGGCATCAATGACAAATGGGAGTAGATGATACTAACTGCAGGTACTTGGTGTATAGATGAAAATATTAGTGATTTCAGGGATGATTGTACTGCTCAGATGTTTCTTCTGCTTTGGTGGCTGCTTCAGCACTCTCCTCACTGATGCGAGAGATGCTGTTAACCCCTGTGAACAACATTAGCACACCCTACTCCCTCTGGTCCTCGTCTTGAGAGGCTGTCTGAGCCCCGAAGTACCTTGATATCAGGTTCCACCCTCAGGCAATAAGGCTGGTTTTGGTATTGCTGGATCTCCCCTGTGATCTCGGCAACTTTCCGGCGCTTGCTGAAGTTAATCAGATCCTTCCCGTGGCGCTTGAGAAAGTCGGGATTCCCCTCCTCCGTCTTCAAGATATTAGTTAGATAGATACCTGGAGGACACAGGCAGGCAACTTGATACTGTTGCTTTTTTCGGACATGCAAGAAAAATCTGCACATTTTAACTTAACGTCTAGTTTTGCAGGATGCTCGTGTCTCACGAGTGTACTGAACTGCACATTGTAAAAGTTAAAAAAATGTGCTTTTAACAGGAAAACTCTTACCGAAGAAAGGCACGCAAGGCGGATTTATGGACTTGAGTTTTGCCAAATACTTCTTAAAATGGTCCTGACTGAGTTCTACTGCTTCTTCTAATATTTTCTTTTTCCTTTCTGGTATAGCCTGTCGAGGAAGAACAGAAAGAATCAGTCCTTTATGTCTCCTAACCCAATACAGCAGGATCACAATGAAACACCAATCCTACAGCACATGTGGGCAGCTCACCTCAAAGGTGTGGTCAAGCCTGTACACCGGCACGGAGTTGATGGCGCTGACTATCTCCAGGACGCCGTTGAAGTTGTTCAGCTCCTGAAACACCTGCAGGATCTCAATGGTACGAGTGAGCACAGCCACTCTCTCCTCCAAGTTCTCTGCCTCCACTATGCACCTAAACAAAGAACAGAAGATTCACTCCCTTTCAACCTCGAGCGAAGATTTTACCAGGGTGGTCAAAATCACTACCTGCAGGGTCAGAGTTTTTTGCTTGCAGATTTTAATTATTAACTCTCCTTACTTAACCACTGGACAAAACCGGAGAAAATCATCACCTCTCCCCAGCTCTTAGAATCTTTTATAGTTGCTTGTGTTAAATAATCATGTTTCCAAAAAAGGCCCAATTATGCAAACAGGTCTGTTCAACAGGTCAGTACTGCAGGTGGACAGTAAACAATTCACTGAATTTCCCTCTTGGGGATTAATAAAGTGTATTGCATTGTAAACAAGAACATATGGCTCTCAAGGACCGGGGATGAGTGGTAAGGATTCACAATTTACAGCGATACAGAATGAGCCCAACATACTGAACAGTCATTCACTACAATGCTATCCTCTCCTAAGTGTTCTTAACCATTTCAGCTTTTATTCCTCCAGACACAGACAGTGCCTCTCCGCCAGTGTACGCCATGTACCCACTTTTCAAACCACAGAGTGAGGTTGGTGGTGTGCCGGATCATCCTGAGAAGGTTTGGGGAGTTCTTCTCCTTGTCTTCCTTGGTCCAGACACTCCCCACCAGCTCAGAGGGGCGGACAGCCCTAAAAAGAGTGAGCAAGAGGAGAGGGCCAGTCAGAACACAATAAGACACCTTGTCAATGGCTCTTGCTAATGTCACAAAATGGATTCTCATTTGCTCCTTACAGTCAATTTGACAAATTGACTGTGGGTTCGTTAATCATAAATTACTACATACTGATGTACATGAATATTTACATGGATGTGCGCCTTAGGGCTGGGGAAAAAACAGCATTGCTGGACAATGAGGTTTTCTGCACTATGTCTCTCTCTCGGGGCAAGCAGCTGAGAGGCGGGTGAGATATAACTACCACACAGACAACCCTGTCTAATGGATTAAGGCATGTAAGCCATTGTCATATTGAGCTCAATGTCGCACAAGATGTGGAACAAGGATTCCCAAGCCCAGTCCTGGATGTTCACACACTGGCTGGTGTTCGTTCGTTTTGTTAATTCAGCTCGGATCTAACGAACAAGTTGCTTGACTTGGAATATTTGCCATTTTTTTTCTCCTCAAAAGCTTGGGATTTTCTCAGACTTGAAATTTACTGGCAGTTTGGCGCTGTATCGCCAGGTGTGCTGTATTTTTTGGAGAGTTTACTCATTAGAATAGGTTTTCTTAAACTTTTCATTTGACACACCTTTTGGATACAATCACTGAATGTGGCAGTATACAATACAGGCAGCCAAGACTCTCCAAAAAATAAAAGTACAGATAGGAGCAAATGATGACTCATCCTTAAGCTGATTTGGGCTCAGAAATCCCGCACTGAGAGTAAAAAAGGTCTACGTAGTGTGGGAGTCCTGCAGGGTGTCTCAGAAGCCCTCCAGTTATCACATTCTAAATATTCATCAAACCCAAAAAATATGACTGTTAAACAATCAAAACATTCTTAAAAGCTTTTTGAACTTCATCTTCTTCAGTTAACTATCTTCTGTAGGTAAATTTTCATTGAGGCCAAAAAAGCTGTACAATGGTATTTAAATCAGCATAAATTTTAGGCCAATGTAGGGTTAAAAAAAACACTGTATGTTCCTGTTCTTTCCAGGTACCGTCTTCATAAAAACGTGTTATATAAAAGAATTAAAGGTGTTTGGGTCTAAATGGGTAAGAAAAAGAATTCTCTAACAAAAACAGTCCGAATGTTTCAATTAACCCTATGACGACTTTAATGTAAAGGTTGAATGGTGTAACCGAGCAGTTGGCTGGTTTTTGATCCAGTGGGTGCGAGGGCCACCTTGACCAGGACTGGGACTCGATGAGCAGGTAGGGTCCGGCCGTGTCCCCAGGACGGCTCACCTGTAGAGCTCGGACTCCAGCAGCGTGAGCTGCCGTGCGATCTCGATGGGGTGCAGCGTCATGAGGGCAAAGGTCTCTGTCTGCCCTGCCCTGCTGATGTGCCACTCCACTGGAGGGGGCGGGCTCCCGAACGTGATACTGTGGCTGACTCCGTTCAGCTGGGTCTGCATCTTCCGTCGGATGATTTTATTGATGGACTCCAACCACTTTCTCATTGACTTCCCTATTGAAACAACCGGGGAAACTATCAGCTGTGATCTATATGATCTATAAAAACCTTAAGAGCACTGTGCATTGTGGGAGTCCTAAGATTGCTTTAAGGAAGAGCGATGTACTGACCTCGTGGCTGAATTACATTGGTGACATACTCTTCCAATCGGTACAACAGCTCGGGGTCTGTCTCAAAGTCATAGAAATGATGCTCCACCCACTGCCGGAAGACATTGAGAACCCTGTAAAATAAAGAAGCCTTAGTTCTGAGTTTACACAGCAAATATTGTGCCTTCAGACTCAGTTTGTTTTTAAACTCCTACTTGCCAATCACACAGTCTGCTTTTCTCCTGTTTATTACATAGTGCATGTACCCTTGCATAGAGAATCATGCCTGGTCCTGTGCTACAGGATCTTGTTTTTTTTGTTGGTCTTAGTTCAACAACTCCGGACTGAAACACGTGAAAATTTCAATTAGTGACATTTTGCTGAAGCATTCCGAGTGTGAGTATTCAGGGGAACAGCGGTACTGTCTCACTAGAGATTTGAACCCACAGTGTTTCATTTACAAGCCCACAGCTCTTCTTTCTGCTCCACACCACTGTCTCACTTGATTTTAGAGGAGTAAGTTGTCTGCCTGTTTGTGAGGGGTAGGTTAGTATATCAGTGGATGAACACGTCGCCTGCAGCGGTGAGGTCCATACCGGAGCTGGACTGGCTGGACATACTCCTTGCGAAATCTCTGGAGCTCTGCTGCCATTGGCTGCTCCCCATTCCACAGGGCCTGTGCCTCGGTGGACTCTGGCTCAGGGATCTCAATCCTGCAGGGAAGACAGGGTCACTTCAGTAAGTCTCAGCTGACATGCCTTTACAGCGCTTTTTACACTAGGCTGCACCAGATAGAAAAATAGACATAGAAAAAAAATGCTTTTCTTACCGGTCTATCAACAGGTCAAGCAACTCAGAGGGCTTGCAGAAGGAGCGGTATGTTGTCAGGAAAGTGCGCACAAAATTAGGATCTGTAAAAGAAAGGGTTCAGCCAGGTCTGCAAACCGAAACTCAGGGGAAAATTTATCCATCACACTTCACGGCCACAAACCCTGGCTCCTGAGAGGCATGATACTGATTAATCAAAACCACTGAGTTTTGAGGTTTGTTTATCAGTTTAATAGTTGCTTGGCTTTACTGAGTGAGTAGTGTTTGTCCAGGGATAACAGATCATTTGGGTTTTATTTTCAGGTCTTTCTATTACACCACTGATCCAAGTTTATAATGAAAATTAGGGAGAAAGACAGACTCCAGTTTTTTGCCAAAGTTATAAACTCGATTCTTTAGTCCAATCCATCCCAGCATTCATTGCACTAACCAACCAAGTTGAAGCACCAATGTATCTATAATCTACAATACCTCAATCACATATGTATTATTATTTTGTTAAGTGTCCTTTTTACTTAATACCAGTCTTCTCTTTTTTGTTTGCATTGGTTCTTTCAAATCTTTTATCTGGCATTAATGTAATACATTCTACCCATAATCTCTGGAGTCTGCATTAATGTGTGGGCCTCACTCAGCTATTCCTAACATGATTCTGTCCCTCAAATATTACTCTCATCTTTGCAATGCTCGACCACTTTTCACATCTAAGTAGGGGCTGGTCTGTTACTACTGAATGACCTGCTCAGATTAAGGTGTTTAAAATATTTTGTAAGTGACCTCCAATCGCAGGGCAGAGATGCAGCAGAACAACAGGAGAACCTGCATCATTGACGAAGACCATACAACATGAGGAAGATGTTACAATTTTCTACAAGTAAGCTCCCTAGTACTGGCTACAATACCACTGTTACTGGTGAAGATGAACAAGGTCATACGTTGAGGAGAACTAACTTATTCTCTGAAAAACTGAAACCAGATGCTAACAGCAATCAAATTGACGATGGGTCCCGGCGTCAGCGCCATGTGACTGCCTACAGTACCTGGACGGGAAACCTCCTGGCAAAGGTAAGGTTGCTGCTGGAAGAGGTATTAGAGGGGCCAGTAGGGGACACTCACTCAGCAGTCTGTGTGGGTAATAATGCCATAGTGATGGGGACACTATACTGCAAAAAGGCACCATCCCTAGGATGTGACATTCAACTGAGGTCCTGACTCTCTGTGGTCATTAAAAAATTCTGTGCGTTTCTTGAAAAGAGTAGGGGTGTCACCCTGGTGTCCTGGCCAAATTTCTCCCTGGCCTTTACCAGTCATGGCCTCCTAATAATCCCCATCTGTGAACTGGTTGCATGACTCTGTTCTCCTCCCCACTGGTACCTAGTGTTTGGGGAGCGTTCTGGCGCACTATGGCTGCCGTCACATCATCCAGGTGGATGCTGCACACTGGTGGTGGTGGAGGAGAGTCCACATCACCTGTAAAGCGCTTTGAGTGGAGTGTCCAGAAAAGTGTATGTAAGTGTAAGGAGTTGTTATTATTACCTGCGTACATGTGGAAGGTGAGTCTTTCAATGAGCTTGACGACGGTGCCGGCCTTGATGATGGGGATGCCGGTCTTGCTCTGCACGCTGTCCTCGAAGACGATGTTCTCCTCGGAGTCCTGCACGGCGAAGCAGTAGGCCTCGGGGGAGGGCAGGCGCAGGGGCTGCGCCTGCTCCTCGTGCTGCAGCACCGTGTCCAGCATGCGGTCCAGTGTGCTGCGGTACTGCAGTGTCACCAGTGCCGCCATCCAGGCGCTCTTCTCCTCCGCGCTCTTGGCGCAGAAGACGGCGCAGTTCTCGTCCTTGCCCACGATCTCGAAGGCGTGCCGCAGGTCGGGCGAGTCCTCGCGGTCCACGATGCGCACCTTGCGCAGCACGAACTTCTCCTTGAGGCGGAACTCGGCGCCGCTGCCCGCGCCCGGCAGCCGCGAGCTCTGCCCGTGGTTGGCCTTGCAGCTGATCAGCAGGCCGTCGAAGAGGAACATGTGGCGCTCGTGCTTGGCGCCGGCGCGGGTGAGTGGGCCCTCGAGGATGAACTCGCTGCAGCACTGCCCGATGTCCTTGCCCTCCCAGCCATCTATGCTCTTCTGGATCTCGTTCATCCTCTTGATGGCCAGCTGCTTGCTGCGGACCTGTCGGCTGTACAGCCGGTACATGGGCTCCCTGCACAAGCAGGAGGCGCAGACTCGTGAGACACCAAAGCGAGAGGAACCCAGTTGCGTGCCGAAAACATGGGCTTCATCGATGAATCTGCTTCCGTAACATGTAACTCCGTCAAAATCACTTTACATAAGAGATACAGTAGATAAGATCACTTTATTAGCCATATACAATTTCTTACATTAGGAATTTGTCTTTTCGCATACCTCCGCTTGCTCTCCATGAGACACACAGGCACACAGACGGGGAGAGAGAAGCTTGGGGTCAGAGCGCAGGGTCAGCCATTTATACGCCCCTGGAGCAGCTGGGGTTAAAGCTTGCTCAGGGGCCCAACAGAGTAGGATTCCTCTGCCAGCTGCAGGATACGAACCGGCAACCTTCCACCCACAGGCGCATATCCTTAGCCACAGAGCCACCGCATCATTCCCCAGAGATACTGTACGCCTGCATCTCTTTTCCCAAATGTTATTTTTAGGAAAATTCCCTATTACGAAGCACGTGAAACTTGTCTCCACATTTCAAACAATGAAACCCGACTTCCAAACTATGAAGAAGCGATACAAAGAAAAACTTTGAAAGCTCCGCCAAATGTAGACAGTGAAGAGGATCGCGTCAGTATGCTACTCGTATTGCATATCAAGTGTTTGCATCACATTCCGCTAACTAGTCTGGGTGAGACCGAGCACAGACCCTACAGAGTGGCACGAAAGACATGTGTGATACAGTTCGGTGCGTCCTGCTTTGTGCATTGTTCGCTATTGCATGTGTTCTTACTCTTCGTGGAAGAAAATGTGGGGTTTACACTTTATCATGGACACTCAAGGTGTTAAGAAAATGAAAATTGTGAGTGTGTGTAATTAGTAACTGTACAATAGAGTACTGTACTCGGGTATGATTAATGATCTAAGTAAACAATTTTTTTTATTAATAAAAGCACACACCACAGTTTGAATGTTAGTAATTATTGTTTGTTTTGTCACTTTTTGATGAAAAAAGTGTAACGTAGGGATGACATTTTTGGGATCTGGAACATATTGTGATTTTCCCCCCATAAGAAACAATGGAAATGCGTTTTTTTCTTTTAAAAAACGTTCGCCATATGAAAGAGTTACTGGGAACGTGATAAAAAGAGGTACGGGTGTATCACATAAAACTAGGTATCTGTCTCATTGCTCTGTCTTTGTCTACTACTAAAAAAATGAAACACTGGGTTTATTGAAATTATTATGTTTATTACTGGGTTACTGAAATTATGAATATGAGTGTTTCTATCGACTCTGCAGAGCTAATGCGATTTCACGTCGAGCTCCACTAGCGATGCCTAGCGATGCCGGAGCCGGACTCCCAGCAGCCGTGCCGAGCCCGCGGTGTGCCTGTGACGGACGAAGCGGACGCTCACCCTGGCTTGCGGCGCGGCAGGTGCTTGCTGTAGATGCGCTCCACGCTGCACTGCAGGTTCAGCAGGGCAGTGATGGCCTGCTTCAGACACTCCTGGTCGTCCTGGTCTTTACTGCGCTCCTGCAGCTGCTGCAGAGAGACCACCCCCGTTCAGGAAGAGCAACAAGCAGCGTTTCCTGGCCTCCTCCTCCAATTAATTCCCTTTTAGTTTCCAGCCTTGACCCTGTGTCCTTGTTTCTCTACTGTGTGTTAAGCAATCCCCTGAACTGCCTCTGTCTATAAGCCACGGGACGTACGCTGAACAAGTCTCCTGTGTTCTAGGTTAGGGGCCCTGAAACTCACTTCCTGGAGGAACCTTGTGTCTTCAGGTTTTCTAGGGGTCAAGTAACCTATTTTCTAAATTAGACGCACATATCTATCTATCAAATTTATCTCTTTTTTTTCCAGTTCATTAGCAACACATTCCCTTACTTAAAAGGGACAGATACCTATAAATCACCTAGGAGCCTGGTTAGAACTATTAGGGTGCAGACGCCCCTCAAAGCTGAGAACATGCACTTCTTCTTTTTAAGGAAGGCATGATCAATTCCAATCTGACTTGGCAAGCGTGAAACCCTTCCCTGCTCTTAAAAGCCCTGTCCTCCCGGGTTGACAGGACAGCAGGGATGACAGTGGAATCTTCTCCTTCCCACAGAGACAACAGCAGGTTAATGCTATCAGGGTAAGAACATGTTTGGCCATAATGTGTAGAACCCAGGGATAATTAGAGCTGTGCATTACAAACACCATCTGTGCATTTCATGTGTGGAAATGTTCACAATGAGACTCAGGTACAGGCATTTGTAATAATAATCCTTGCATTCATGTAGTGCTGTTTTTGACACTCTATTCAAAAGGGCGCCAATATGCTCCCCACACACCAGCTATCAGTGGACACCAGAACAAAGTAATGATGCCAATTCATAGATGCGGATTATTAGGAGGCCATGATTGGTTAAAGGCCAAGGGGAAATTTGGACACCTGATCCCCGATGCGTTTATCAAAATGTTGCAACATTCATTTTTTAAATAAGGTAATAAGAAATAAGGTGCCACTTCATAGGGCGTATATCTATATCATGAGTAGCACTAAACTGGTCAGGTTTATGTGGTAAGGATGTAAAGTAGCTCTAACAAAGTTTGGTTAACCGCACAAACGCAATGAAGATTCTTACAACAGACAGTTACACACATCAGATCCTTAATGAGAAAGACAATATTCCTGACGATATTGGTTTCTTCAAAAACAGAGGTATATTGCCAGTAGCCATATCACCTTGCAACTAACAACTGGCAACCCACTGAAGCTAAGCAGGTGTGAGCCTGGTCAGTACCTGGATGGGAGACCTCCTGGGAAAAACTAAGGAGGTGTTAGTGGGGCCAGCAGGGGGCGCTCACCCTGCGGTCCATGTGGGTCCTAAAGCCCCAGTATAGTGACGGGGACACTATACTGTAAACAGGCGCTGTCCTTCGGATGAGACATAAAACCGAGGTCCTGACTCTCTGTGGTAATTAAAAATCCCAAGGTGTTTCTCGAAAAGAGTAGGGGTGTAACCTGGTGTCCTGGCCAAATTTCCCATTGGCCTTTATCAATCATGGCCTCCTAACAATTAAGCTATAAATTGGCTTAATTACTCTTTTCTCCTCCCCACTGATCACTGATGTGTGGTGAGCGTTCTGGCGCACTATGGCTGCCGTCGCATCATCCAGGTGGATGCTGCACATTGGTGGTGGTGGAGGGGAGTCCCCATTACCTGTAAAGCGCTTTGAGTGGAGTGTCCAGAAAAGCTATACAAGTGTAAGCAATTATTATTATTATATAAATTGCATTTATATTTTCAGTAACGGGGCAAGAGATACCAGATGGAGAAAATCTGAGTCAATAGGGACAAAGTTTCTGAGCTGCTATTCACACAAATTAGAGCAATTACATTCTAAACTCTACAATATGTGAGCAACAAAAACAAAATGGATAAAATAAGCAATATCCCATCTTTGGCAAATGTTTTTGTAAATCTTGAACTGGCTCCCTTCAGTCGGCAGATACTGAAAGCATTTCCAAAGTCTACCACAAGAGGGGGTGCTTGCAAGAATAAAGGAAACCATGAGCTAAGGAAATGTTTCAAGTTCTTCAAACACCCAGGATTTGCAACACCAGAATATTCATATTCCAATTTATTCCTATGCACTGAAAGTTTGTGCGCCTGGCATGCAATTCCCAGATAAGTACCTTGTATAAAAAAAAACATATTTGTCTGCTTACACTGGGTGGCATAACAAAAGGAGACAAACAGTAAATGGCTTAAAGAACTTCATGCCAGTTTAAAAAAAGCAGTAAAACCACTACATTTATTAGATAGAATAGTAAAATGCTCCCTTTAGATGCTGCTGCTGATGATGATAATAAACTTTTGTTTATAACGTGCCTTTCCAAACCCAAGGACACTGTACATCGCAAATAAAGAATAAGGTACAAAAAGTTCAATAAAAAGTAAAAGGAGAAAAAAACCCAAGAGCATACAGGTTTTTACAGATGTAGGCAATCAGATGTAGACTATTTTTGGATTTGAAAAGAGTTAAAGAAGTTGTCTCTCAGATTCTGAGGACGGTCATTCCATATCACACTACAAGACGTGTTGTTAATATTACACCTGGTAATGAAATCCGCAACTGACACCAGTGAAAACCTTAGACTTTCATCACCAGTCTGGTAGAAATTTCACATTGAACTTAAACATCAGGAGAGAAAGTACAATTGTCTTCAATGTCAAAACCACAGCAAGGTAGTGACCTATGTACTGTACATGGTCATGGCTTTTAGTAAGAGGTGTATTAGCTGTATTAGCTATCGCGACTACATCAATGTGGTAGATATCGTGGTACGTATTTTATATTTCTATTCATGAGTGCTCTTTCTTGCTAAAGTACACTGTCAATGGCACTTCACACACATACTGCTTGAGCATACCTACAGAAGGAGAAGATTCACCTTTTAAATTAAAAACAAAAAACACAACACTGTCACATCTAAAATAAATATATAAAAATTACTTCTCTAAAAAAGTGAGCAGGCAAAGCATGTTGATTTCCTTTGAGATTAAATGGCATGCCCATATGAATTTTTGCCAAAAAAACCAAAATATTAACTGCTGTTTCCCACCTCCTCCAGAGACCAATCAAACTATCCTCCAGCCAAACCAAACTATATAATAAAGGGGTATGGTGTTTTTTTTTTTTTATTCAGAGACAGGACAGAGGTCACTAGTTTCTATTCAACTGAGATTTCAACTGGATTTCCACACTACTGTAGCTTCCTGGGGAAACTGGTGGTTGAGGAAGATCACCTTTTCATTGTAGCACTGCACCAGAGTAGACCATGTTCGTACGGGACTGATGAACAAGACTTACCTGCAGCAGTTCAAAGTAGTGCAAACAGTGATAGACTGGAACCATCATGAGCTGGGGCAGAACATACTGCACAGCCTCCTTGAAACCCTCAGCTATTGACTGGGATGAAGCATAAAGAGACAGAGCTAGTCAGCAATCTGAGTTTTTCACACACTCAACACCTGTGTTCTGGTCACAAAAAGAATGTTAGTTTTACAGACATCTAACATAGAGATCACCACTATTTGACATTATGCATACTATAGAGTATCAGCAATGGGTAAATATCAACACCTCTTTGAATGAAAAACTTTAAATGTAAGAAGAACCCTCAAGGAATTGGTCTCTACACAAACCTTTGTTTGTTGCAAAAAGAAGAGGCATATCAACATTGAAGTTTTCATGGCCAGTGGAAAGGGAACAGAATAAAAGAGACAGAGAGAGGAGATTGTATTATGAATCTCAACACCCAGTGCTGGTTGCTGTAGACAGCAGAGTAATATGAGCTGGAGGTCACTGTATCTCTTAAAAACCTCTTACTCAGACAGCAGACAGATAATCAATACCTCACTGCATAAGCTGCTTACAAGAGTCTGCACTGTTTGCCATGAGAGCTACATACACACCATTGGTAAGCAGTGGATGAAGTTCAATGTGCAAATAAACATTAACGTCACAGAATGCACCTTGGTATCAGTCAAGATTGTAATGAAAAAGTTAATTTAACAGACTTTCTATTTAGATTGTTTCTAAGTTTTAAATATTTTCTATTTCTCTACCTTTACATGTAATTGAACAGTACCGATCACTCAAATTTGCTTCTTTTCACTGCAGCAAATGGTGGACACATTACATAGCACATCCACTTGTGCTGATTTAAGAATTATGGCGCTCTGCACTTCAAGAAAAGGCCAACTGTGAATTCTTGGGATCACTTGGAGGCAGTTCTATTGGACCATCTCCTTTAATTACAGCCTCCTTCCAAATGATTGTCAGAACTGTTTACAATTACAAATGTTATTTCACATTCCAGAACAACTCGGAGTAGAAACAAGAAATCCTGTCTTTTTCTACATCGTTGAAGGCCACTCCATAGCAGATACTGTAAACCACTTGTGTGGTTCCACTCGAGGATTTTTAAAAGCCACACCTCTATAAAGGACAGCCTAATTTTCAGCACCATCACTGTACTGAGCCATCTTCCTCTTACATTCCTGACCTCTGACCTTCAAAGAGCCAAGGATAACCACTGTCAAGGCTTCTGGAGAGCAGGAAAAGGAGGCGGGAGGGACACTGGATTCTGCCTGGAGACAGTCTGACAGCTTCACTGCGCTTAACCTCCATTCATAATTGATAAGGCACTGGCTTGTAAACAGTGATGTTATTGAGGAACTGAGCATTTTGCCATTAGATTTTGTTAAGCAATGTTTATAGACTTTATAGACTTAGCACCCAATACTGAAAGACCTTTAAAACACAATACAATATAGCCATGAAATGTTAAGCAGTATTGTTTTACCTTGTACGTATATACTAAATAAAATTAGTCTATCCTTTTCTTATAATCCCTGTTTATTAGGGGCATCTTGCAGGTTTTAATGAAAGCGGGACATACTGAGTTTCTCTCCAGTTCTCTTCTCCAGAGAGAAAAAAGGCTTGCGGTACGCTGGCCAGTTCTATTTTTAAAAGGCGATGCAATTTACCCACAATACCAGACGGCGCAAAGTGTAGTGCCTGAGCGGGTCTCAGTGGGGACATTCATCTGACGGCAAGCCGAGAGAAGGGGAGAGAGGAAGAAATAAAATAAGGCAAGGAGGGGACAGGAACACAAGGAGGAAGAAAAAGACAAGGAGAGGTAGAAAGAGGGTGGGACGCCGGAAGCATAAAAACAGATAAAGGTGGGAGGAAGAGTCAGACTTCGAAGTACTACAGAAAGTGTCATCCTAGTGAGGTACATGGAGAGGAACAGCACACCCAGGAAGAGAGCTGGAGAAACAGATGAGTGAGGCAGACATGACTGCAACCTTTTCACAAACCCTCCCTTTGGTTTGCTCTACGGACTGAAAACCACACGATTCATTTTCACGCAGTTTGGAGGTTCAGTGTTTAATGTCCATACACAGTTGAGGAAATAATGGCCACACGTGTATTTCTATTGATAAGCAGGCAGAAAATGCTGAAGATAAAATGCAGGGCCAAGTGTGCAAAAATATTTGTCAACTTAAAAACATCCAAAAGAGTTAGCACTTAAGATGCGTCACCGAATTACAGCAGGTCTGTCAATAACATCCAAAGGTCCGTAGTTTATTAATCATAAGATCGACAACTTCTTCAAATGTTACGAGCAACTGTGGGAAATTGTTTTAAAAAAATGAAGTTAATTTAATTCCCAAATAGTTTAAAGCGGTACTGCAATGCTATTTTCAAATCTCGGCGTTAGAAGGAATCAACATTGATGAGCGCATTTCAAACCGCAGTTAAAGTAAACTGTACACAGTAACCTGAAATCTCCCCAATTTACGTCACAAAATTGATTAAATTTCCAGGTATGCACAGCACCATGTTCTGAGATTCGGAACGAGGCAACAAAACGTCTGGTGATGTGTTGCGGCTCTATGACTTTGCAAACTAGCAGGCTTGTGAATAAATCTCTTTAAATCCAATAGAAATATTACTTTCTATTTTCGACAAAGTATTGCCAACAATACTACTTACTTGTTAACTCAGCATGCAGATCATGTTGGAACATTTCTATGGCGAAAAGTTTGCTGCACAACCTGTACTTATTCGCTTGTACATCACATTACAGTGACTAGTGAGCAGGAAGGGAGGCATCACGACCCAATTCGTGGGAACTCAAACGCAAGTTTGTGACAACATGGCGACTTACAGTTCACAATTTTGTGCTTAATTTGAAATGGGTAAATTTGTTCTATGAAGTCAATGAATTTAGTTGCCAAGATTTAATAACAGGTCTGAGAAATTAGGACTGCAGTTCCCCTTTAAGGTTACTACTCTCTTTTACTAAATGGTATTTCAACTAAGCTATCCAACCTTTCAACCCAATTTGTTAGCACAAAAATAGGGTGAAGGGAAAAGCTGAAATAAAGATGGTAGACGAGGGAGTATTGTCACTGCTTCTGATGTATGATGACATGTGAAAAGCAACTTTTATTTAATACAGGACATTTGTGTGCAATCAATCTGACAGTTTGTTTCTGAGCATTTATGCTATGGTGGTAGAGGAAGGAAGAAAATAGCCCTGCACTGAGCTGGAAACGTAACCACAAGAAATTGTGCATGCAATCTGGGCAACAACTGGCATATAGCTACAAAAACAAGAGACACACTTGTATAGACTTCTTAAAAACGCATCTTAAAGCATAAGGAATTTCAGGGTCCTAAAAGCTGCCTGATTTTATTCCAGCTTTACAGAATTTGTATGACAGGGTTTCCTGTGAATCAGTACTGGGATCTCCAAGCAGGAGATTAAAAATAAAAACAGTACAGCTGAAGAATGAGCAGTAGTTGAAGGCAGAAAAAGTATATAATATATAGAATATAATTATTTTTCTTTTTTTTTCTATTTCTATTTATTTTTATCAGCATTATCTATATACAAACTGGAAAACAAACTAGCAGCAGAACTTTGCAATGAGGAAGCCAGTACAGTCATGTGCTGAATTTAGGACACTGTCTATAATCTGTATTTTCAATGTATTTCTAATTATTTCAGAAGGTATTGTAAGTATAAATGTCTGTCTAAATTCAGGTTTCTGTAAAGGAATAAAAGAGTGTGCAAATAAGTCAAGAACAGTGTTATTTGAAATCTCATGCCCGTTGTTTAGAAAGCATTTAAATTAATAGATAACTGTGATGCACTTAAAATCCTTAAATATGCACCTACAGAGTTCTGCATGCCCTGGCTTGTTCTGAACTTTATTATAAAATGCCAAATGCCTGAAGCAGCTGTGGATCCAACACATCTTCAGCCCATGAAAATCACACAAACACTCCAAGGTACAGGTATTCTAAATGCAGACGTCCCTTGCTTGTAAAGCCAGAGCACAGAGGGAGGGAGTAAGAAAGCTTCTGGTACCTGGAAGTGAAGGGCGACAGCTGGCCTGGCCATCAGGCTGCTGAAATGCTCGCGAAACTGGCGGGAGAGGATATCCTGAGACAGCGTTTCATAGGGATCAAATGCTTGCTCCTGAAAACAGTTAAATGTGGATTTATAAGCTGTCCTTGCTCAGATTCTCAATCTTGTTAGCCTGTGAACACATTCTTTGATCAAATATGCAATAAACACACAAAAGTAGCACGAAATTCGGATCATTGACAAGTTCGAAAACCTGGCTGCGAAGGCACGGACAGCACAAGACTCTCCACCGCTTCCAGGTTTGACCTGGATAAATAAGTGTAATTGTTCCCAAAGACACACTTACAGACCAGACCCCTGACAAAGCCTGGTCCCGTTCAGTCCTCACAGGTCAAGACTGAGGCAACTGCAGCTGGGAAAACTAGAGATATGCCTTAGAGATTTTAATTCTTGTCACTAATTCTTGGCTGTCTGGAGTCTCCAACATTGTGGACAAGAGCTGATGGTGACAGGGGACACTACTGTAGGAGGTGCAGTCTTTTAGATGAGACATGACTATTTAGTCAAAAAAGATCCTATGGTACTGCTTATGGTGTTAACTCCGGCATCCTGGTGAAATTCCTCTCTGGGTGTGCATATTCTGACCTTAATTCAACTGGTGAAGCTGTTTCTCTACTGTACCATTGGGGTGCAGGTGCCAAACAGCTGCTTAAGTATGTGTTACCTGGACGGGCGGAGCTCTTTGGGGCCGGAGGATTTAGGGTACCTCCTACACATAGAGAACTTGGGGATCCTTCTGTATGAAAAGCACTATGTGTAATTATTAGATTTAAATAATTTTAACAATATTTGCCATTAAATCTGAATCCAAGGCTGCTGGCAACTCACTGTATAAAGAAACACCTCTTGTCACAGATACCCCTGGACCTACTGTACTTCTACTTGAATTCCCTTTTTTGTTTTTTTGTGTCTGCAGTTAGAAAGGGCCTCCACGAGTGGCACTGAAGCAGTCTTTTCGTGTTCAAACACAAAAGCTAAAAACAAAAAACTAAAACCCTACAAAATACGTTGCACATTTTTTTGTACTTTCTGAAGTGCGGCACAATTATCAGAGCTTGCCTGTCCTGCAAAGACTCGACACGTACCTCGGCCAGATCTTCGAAGCAGCTGCCCACGAGAGGATGGGGGCTGCTGTCTGTTGTCATCTCCACCGCGTCCTCAATCAGCCCCAGCAGCTTCACCGTCAGCTCGTGGATATCCAGAATATTGCTGAAGATCACGTCAATATCCTGCAGACAACAGTGCTGCTAACATTAGATCACTGCATATAGGCATGGATTTCCAGATGCATTTTTCACTTGCTTCTTCCTGCTGATGCTACAAGAGATGCCAAAAGCAATCTGCAGCTGACTTACACATAGGATTCGATATTTAATTAAAGGCCCTGAATCACAAAGGTACAACTCAAGTGTTTTGTTTTTGCAAAACTTCTGACTGGACTGAAGTGTCATATCCTCTCAGCTGTTCTTGAGGCTGATGGTGTGAATTAACAACCCTCCAAAAAGGGTACAGTATGTCAATACTAAATACTTTACACACCACCAAAACAGATTTTAACCACTGCTGGCCATACCTACAGTACAAACATACGGGTTTACAAACTCAAACACCTTGATCATTCCTTTCTTGTCATATTCACTGATCTTTTAGTTCTTTTAATCCACTCTATGTTCCTTCTCTTTCTTAATCAAATGAAAAATATTCCGTATTTCACAGTCTACACAAAACCTATATTCACTGTTAAAGTTAACTTGGCTCCAAAGAAGACAAAAGACCAAAACATTTAATCTTTTTTCTAAAAATAGAATTCTATCTTTTTATCAGCATTATCTATATACAAACTGGAAAACAAACTAGCAGCAGAATACCTTACTCAACAGTAAATACTATTGATATAAAAATCCCTAAAAAGTTTAAATATTTATTGAAAAGTAAAATCTTTAGCGGATTAACCTAAGGGAATCTTAGATTTTCTGTGTTCTAAAGCACTGTGATGACATGTTACAAACGATGATAAAAAGGCTGGCTCCTAATCACTTCAATATCCATACTGTAGCACTCCCATGGATGGTCTTAATGGATGCTGTGTATCACTGCAGATTCTTAAAAACCTCATTATGCTTTCGATAGATTCTCTTTCTAGCTACCACCTGACACAGTACCCCTCTCATTTAAAATGCATAAAGTCCTTTTGCATCTACTGTATCCCTTCTTATTTATTCATGTTCACTGTTGCTCTCTCCATCTCGTCACGTTACACTTCGATACACACAACAGATGCTACAGCTGCTCCGTTTCAGTTATTCTTAAGGGAAGCGTTTGAGGTCATTATTCTGTTTTCCAGATAGAATTTCAGACTGTACTGGCAATTCCTTCATAACCAGCTCAAAACCATACTCCTCAGACACAGGGGAGAAAAAAGCATGGGATTAGAAGACAAATTAAGGGATCAGTGATTGGTTTCGTTAAGGGATCACAACTGCACTTTCAGAGTTTTCTTCTGTATATTTAGATATGTTTCTCTCGGTTTTACTGGATCCCAAGATGACAGAAAGAGGAAAGGTTGCATTGAAGGCCTAAAAGACTTATATGGTAAGAGTTAACATGTTAACAAAGAGTTTATGTGTGACTGTAGTTGTGAAGTCTGACAATGTTCCTACAATTACACAGTAGTAACTCCAAACAAACTGAAGATATGGGGATAATCTCCTTAAAGTAAATGTCGGAAATAAACAAAGATGTCTTTTACATTTGAAATATGACTGGATGTTTTGGACACTTTTAGTTTCATTTGAATAAACTTTGGAATAAAAAATAAATTACAGAAATAAAGTCATAGGGAAGTTCCCAACAAATATGAAGACAAACGTGTGTATCTGTGTGTGCGGAAGAATCTTTGAGTCCGGATACTTCCAGAGCAGCAAGATTAATAATTAATAACAATAATAATTGCTTACACTTATATAGTAATTTTCTGGACACTCCACTCAGAGCGCTTTATAGGTAATGGGGACTCCCCTCCACCACCACCAATGTGCAGCATCCACCTGGATGATGCGACGACAGCCATAGTGCGCCAGAACGCTCACCACACATCAGCTCTCAGTGGGGAGGAGAACAGTGTAATGAAGCCAATTCATTGAGGGGGATTATTAGGAGGCCATGATTGGTAAGGGCCAATGGGAACTTTGGCCAGGACGCCGGCGTTACACCCCTACTCTTTTCGAGAAACGCCCTAGGATTTCTAATGACCATAGAGAGTCAGGACCTCGGTTTTACCCCCTGCTGGCCCCACTAACATCTCCTTAGTTTTTCCCAGGAGGTCTCCCATCCAGGTAGTGACCAGGCTCACACCTGCTTAGCTTCAGTGGGTTGCCAGTTGTTAGTTGCAGGGTGATATGGCTGCTGGCAATTAAAATCTAAACGAGCCCACATGCACAATGGAGCTTCATCTCCTTTTTACCCAACACCTGGAGTTAATATTATGCTACATTCAGGAGTCACAGCTGTGAGTCAACAGTGAACACTCAAAGCAGGTGGCTGCTTCAGCAAATATCTAAGAAAGACAATTTCAAGATTTCTAGAGGTTGGCTGAAGGACTGCTTTGTGAAGGTGCAGCATAGTGAGGGCAGGAGCGTTTTTTAAAGTGTGAATCAAATCGCAGATATAAGCCAAAGAATATGGCTTCATTCAGACCCATACGACACTCAATTAATTCACTGGACCTTTCAGGAGCAAATTAACTTTCTGCATGGCTCATTCACAGAGTTTAAAAAAAAAGAACCGCACTGCCGGTTTTCCACTACGTAATCTAGCTATTGATCGAGCAGGACCGGCGCGCGGACGGAGAGGGGGTAGGAAGAGGGAGGAGGAGGTCCAGTGAGTACTCACGTGGGGCGTGAAGAGCTTGGGGTTGGACAGGAAGGCCTGGCGGAACACTTTGACTATGAGGTCGAGCTCCCGCAGGTACTGTCGCTCCTCTGCGATCTCTAGCCGCACCAGGTCGTCATAGGTCAGCTCTCCTGTGGACAAAGGCTCGTCGCCACACAGAGAAACCAGCCCGATGTCCTCGTCCTGATCGAACATATCCATCAGCACCTGGAAGAGGCATCCACACAAGCGCTCATTGAAGCAATTCGCACATCCCCAGCTACAACATGAACAGGAAGAAGTCTGGAAGCATTAAGGATGATGTTTTTAAGAGTATGATCTACATCATGGCATGATCAATACCACTACCAAAAATAACAACACGTAACCGAAAACATCTGAATCTGAAAATCTGAAAGTTTTTTTATTCTGGGTTTGGTTCTCAACTCTGCTGCTTTAGAGTTTCTGTTTCTAATAGGCATTCAGTAAATGGATATTTATTTAGTTTACATCCTGCTTAGTCCAATGGTCTCCCCCAAACTACTGCCTCTTTGTTGCAGGTGGGCACAGTGATGCACTTCAGCAAATAACATGTGCTGCTATTATCTAACACAGTGGTTCTCAAACTTTTTAGACCAAGTACCACCCCTAATCCAACCAAACCATCCAAGTACCACCTACAAGTCATCATCTCCTAGGAACCCCAGAAATTCTCAATGACCAACATGAGCACGCATGCACACACACTCACACATACATATAATACATATTATAATAATAAACTTTATTTGATATAACG